CGAAACGAGTGTACATCCCAAAGAGAAAATGACTGAAGCCCCCCTCCCCCAACAAAAAAGAGCCGGGGCGGGGGGCAACTGGCGGCCCGCGGCCAAACAGTCGGTTTCTCACGGTCTGAGGTCTCTGCCCTGAAAGGCGCCTGGGTCTCGACGAGCGCGAGAGCGCAACCGACGCGGACGACGGCAAATCCGACGGACCAAGAAATCGAGCGTTGGGCCCAAAACATCCTTAGGACCTTGGGCATTTCTGCAGGTGCCTTACTATAACGGCATAAAATCAATAGAATGGGATGGGGTATATACTATTCAACCAAGCCACCTGAGAGAATCGTGGGATGCTTGGCTTCTCGCATCACCCTCTCAACAAATATGGATGTTCCATTCACCTAAGGCTGGAAAGGAGTGCTGCTCAAATTCAAGCCTCCGGGTTTAATGAGTTTACTAGGCTGCTCCCAGATCCCCTGCGAAAAGTCCCTGCTTTTGTGGGCACGAAACTACCACTAAACCCAAAAAGCTAAAACCTAGGAGGCTGGGAACCATGTCTAAAGAGCCTTGGGTACTTCTCTCTTCCAGATTCCGGAAGGCAAGAACAATACTACGGCCGAAAATGATTAGAATGGGGTGGGGGATATACTATTCAATCAAATTGCCTGAGAAAATCATGTGAATGTCTGGCTTCTCTCAAGAAACATGCAAGTTCCATGCACCTATGGGGTGAAAACACTGAAATCAATAATTTCTGAGTACGCTTGATGATAGCTCTTTGAAATCCAACCCGGCAGTCTTAAGTGAACAGTCCAGGGCTTCGCCATGGGCTTGCCCGGGTTGGTCGAACTGGCCCTACCAAAAAAAGTTTGACTCTGATTGGTTGCCCGCAAGTGAGAAAACAACATAACGTTTGCCCTTCCTGGGAACCAGTCACGACCGTTCTCCTCTCAAGGCAGGAACGGAAGAAACGTGACATGTTGCGGTGTCTTTCCACCTCACTCAACCGAAATTGCCCAAACAAATGGATGTTTTGTCTTGACCACAATGATCTTCCCCCCAAACCCGTGGCTCACTGCGCTCCGTTGCACCCCCTTTGGGTGGCCTCCAGACCCGGGACTGGGCTGCCGGCGATGAAGGCGTTTTGAAGGTGGAGGCCCTCGATCCAGCGCGATCAGATCGAGCGGGGCCGTATTTGAAGCCCAGATCGGCGCAGTCGGTTTCCACCCAAGGGCCATTTTATTCGTAAAAACAAACCTTTTGGGGTCAGGGCTAAACATGAAAAACAGAAACCCAAAAGTCAATAGGTCAATTTGCTTTGGCAAATGAGCCCGTGCCAAGTCTTTGAAACATGGGGAATCCTGGCTTCTCCTCCTAGCGGTTCCCTTTTTTGGGGGGATTCCCTGAATTGGTGTGGCTTTAACACGCGTCTCTAAGGCACTGTTTGCTGAGTGAACACTCGAGACGCAGGCGCTGGGTGTCCGGCCAGGAGGCCCAAGAGGACCACCTTGGAAAAAGAGTCTCACAGCCAGGGCTAGACATGGCTACCCAATCTTTCCAACGTTATGACACCCCGATTAACCGACTGACCTCTGCCAAAAGTGACTCAGAGTTTGTTGAGGAATGAGCCGGCAAACAACCTCAAAATAGGGAATTTGCCCCAAGGGTTGTGGGTTTCCTTTTGGTTTCACCGCAAAAGTTTTCCCTCAAAAAACAAAGCGTTTGCCAAATGGTGAAAATGCGAATTGTGGTAGACCGCAAAGGTATCACAGGCAAATACATCAGAGGAAAAAGGTAGCAAGTGGCAAACCCGTGATTAAACCGGACATGTCAAAGCAACAACCCAGCAAGAACCAAGGGACATTGCAAACAGAGAACCAAGGAAACCCAAGCATGGTCTGCGGTTGGGGAGCTTGCAATATTTAGGGAATTAACCGCACCAACTCCAAAGACGAGGGTTTTCAATGTCAACCGATGACTGCAAGGTCCTTTGAACATATCCCTCTGGCCAAAATGTGCGCCTGAGAAACCAAAACAAACTAAACCAATTTTCTGGCCAATGGTCACTTTTTATGGGACGGAGTAACCCGCCTAGCAGTCCAAGCAGAGGAAATCATGATGGAAATGACGAAGCAAACACCAAATTTGATCGAGTCATCCATCGACACGGGAAGTGAGAATTGGGTATGTGTCAAAAGATGGGCTCCCAAAACAATATGCCTTCCTGTGGCTGCCTTTAAACCAACCCCAAAAAGGGGCACCCTTCGCCTCAAAAAGCCCCCTCCCCCCCCAGAAGCCGGGTCCCTTGCCGCACACTCCATGCGCCTGCGCGCCATGACGCCTTGCGGAGACGCAAGGAAGTCACTTCGGGCCCTTCAAAAAACTGAAGAGCAGGGGAAGTAGTTGTCTTGAAAGAGGGGGCACGTTCGGAGTTCCCTGAGTCAAAGGCTGATGAATCTACTTGTGGGTTTGCCTGAAACTGCCTCTTTTGAAGGTTCCAAAAAGGGACATGAAGGAAACCCTGCAAAAAATGCTGAACAAGCGTTGCAGGGCCATTCATTTTTTGTAGTTGCCCATATACACGGAAGCCAGGAAACCCCCGTAAAAAAACTTGGAAGTGTGAGGAGAATCTGTCTCACACCGACCTGGAAATAGCAGGTTACCACCTTTAGAGACATTGGTCAAACATGGGCCGAAAAGGCAAACCCAAAAGGCTGAAAGGTCGATTCGCTTCGGGAAACTAAGAAGACCCAGGAGAACTGCCCTGATTTTGTCAGGTTGGTACACCCATGCCGTCGGAAACATCAACAGCTACCGATGGGCTATTGAAAGTCATAATCAAACCTGGTAACGTGGTCTACCCAAGGACATGCACCGCGGCAATCTGCTCCGATTTTTGGCTGGGAATGTTTACTACTGACCTTCAACTACCTGGGTTGATGGTGGCCCATATCATGCATATACCATGCATACCGCATACCGTAATCTTGGCATCCCGCCCTGTTAGCCAAGAGGAAGAACCTCCAGGTAGGTGTTTTGTCCTTCGGTTGGTCTTCCATAAATTACCAACAATCAGTTGTCTAAGAGGGGATCCGGAGAAAATAAACAAATACATGTGTTCTTTGTGTGCCCCTTTTGCGGGTTTTGTCATTCTGTGTTAAACACTGGGAACTGCATACACAGCTATATAGGGCAAAACAAGTCACGCCCATGTGACCCACAGTCAAAATGACTGGTTTCCGCTAAAGGAGTCCATGTATTTTGGATCATTCAAGAATGTCCACTTCGAGCGTCCCATCAAGGACTTGACAAGGTCAGTCCGGAGTGCATGACCACTCTGGAGGTCCCACAGCCGCTTCAATATCGTCAGCTTCCACCATCTTCCACCTCTTGGGATCTAAAGCCAAAATCCCCCTGCGCACCCGTCGAGGAGCTGGATTGGGATATGCCTGGTTTCTGGCGAACCAAAACGCGAGCCCTCCATGTCCCCAAATGCATCATAGGGTGCTGGAAATTTTGACCGAACCGCATGCGCGTGTGTTTGAGGCTCGCCAGCAACCATTTGTGGGGTCCTCCTATTTGGAGAAATGCCCATGTGCACAAGCCCCCTTTTGACGCTGGAGAGCCTCACATCCGGTCTTACATGCGGAAAAGGTTTGGCCCGGACCGTCTTGGATGACCATGGGGAAAAAAAGCGATTCCGGCAAAAAAAACGCTGGAAGTTGCTGTTGACCGTCACCGCACTTAGTTGATCTAAAGGGGACAAGTGCACCACTGCAGGTCTATGGTTTACGCACGGGGGAATCAGCACAAGCGACTTGCGAAGTGCCAGAGACCCTTGTTCACTGCATTGGTCGAAGTGACTGACACCCCTGCAAAATGTGGCCGACTTTCGCCGCTTCGGGGGTAAACGATCGATCTCCACGGAGTCAAAGCGAATGACATTGAAAGGGACCATCACGCTTGCCATCCTAGCTTGGCTATCCTCGGATTGTCAACTTGACCCCTGCAAATTTGCTTTGCTGATTGTCAGTTGCTTCGGTCAAACCGAAAACTATCCAACAACAACTACCGTGGACGGGGAAACATTGCACCAGTTGGTAGGTGCTTTATCCCAACAAATGTAGGTTTTGTCCATCCCAACTGGTGCAGGAGTTTGCCCAGCCACAGTATGTCAAGTCACCAAGCCAAAATCCGGGTTCTCCCCACAAATGAACCGGATGGGTGGTTTCGTTCCAAAGGGTCTGAATCCAACTGGGTTGCTCCAAAGATCCTGGAAGGGTAGGATACCAAAGGACACAAAATCAAAAACAAAAACAAACCAACAGGAACCTTTGGGTTGCTCATAAGGCTTAACTCTTACCACGGCTTGACTGAGTTGCCCGCTGTGATAGGGCTTCTCTCTGCTCTGAAATCTGAGAAATGCAGCGGCCAGGGCGAATGCTTGGAAGCACCGAGCGCTTGCTAGTCATCTCAACAAGCACGATCGGCAAAACTTACATACCCATAGATGCGATGATATGTGCATTTGATCGGAACGCTCTTGCGCTTTGACCGCCTGCAAAAAGAGATTCATCTTGTGCTAGCTCCGGGGGAACGACTCAGATCAGAAGCACGCAGTTGAATTCGGCCATTTTGGTCGAACGCCCCGCCCAGCTCAGGGCAATTCCTTGCGTTTACAGCATGGGCAACGAAAGGCACACAACTCATTTTGCTCGGTCAATTTCTACTCGCAGTTCTGTCCATCTGGAAACGACCAAAGAAGCAAGCTTGCTGTTGGACAAGGATTGGGTACCCTTGAATGTGTAGAACAAGAGAAACATCTTTGAGAGGTTTGGAGCAACCTTGTTTCTGTTTCGCTGCACGCCGTCCTTTTTCCGAGCTTGCTGCTGAAAACTGAGGCCCTTTGGCCCATCACTCTCGGGCCGCACCTCTCTAACAGACCCCATCTGTGTTCGTTGACCGATCCCTTGAATGAAAGCTGAAACTTCTCTGTTTTCGGGGACTCCCTTAAAAGGGTGGTGTCCCTTTGGAACCAAAAAGGGGTACCCTATGGTACCCTCAAAAAAGACACGCCCCACTTGGAGCATGTTGCTTTAACCGCCTGAGCCTTTCGAGTGCCCTCAGCTTTTCTTGCCCACGGCCACCAGTGGCACGCCAGCGTACTCCAAAGCCCGCATCCTTAGGTGCGATACCGAGCGAGGCGACTGCCTGGTGATTCCGAACGTAACACTCATGCGGGAGCTTCTCCAAATGGATTTCGGACACCCATTTAAAGGGAAACCAAAAGGACACCCCACGTTGGCTGGGATCCCTAGTTTGTGACACTCGTCGGATCCTTGAAGTCCCCACCCTTCATAACTCACCAAATCGATGTGGCCAAGCGCCAAAAAAAGAGGCCCATGGTCTTTCAAACAATAGCTTCCATTTGCGCTTTGGTCCCCTCACGGGAACATACAAACTCTTCTTAAGCAAATACAAGATAAAGTGCAGAGTTTCACTGGGAGTGAGCGAAGCAATGAAATCACAAATCCCTAACTTTTTGGGTGATCATGGTGATCACTTTCATGATAAGGTGCAACCGACCCTCCTTTCGAGGCCAGCACCTTTTGAGTTGCGACTCCACCTTCGTTGCAATGGTCAGCACGTGCGTTGTTTCCCGCTTAACGGGGTTCAACAATGTTCCTTTAACAACCGGAGTGTGAAATCAAAAAAAGAGCTGTAGTTTCTAAACACACCTTCACTCAGTGCTCATTTGATCCCTGCAAACAGTGCAACTTTCGCTGGATATGCGATACCCCGAGCAATCTCCGCCAAGTCAACGGGAGAAACGTGTTGGGGAGTCTCAAATTAGGACCCGGTCTCCGAAGCAACAGTGGCTTTGCTTCTGCTTCCCTTCAATTACAAAATAGGGTCCGAATCCCATTTCGAGAAAATCCCGCATGGCTTTCCCACAGCGAGCACGATTTCAGTGCAATCCGGTGAGCTTGTTTCCCGGATAAAAGGAGTCTGCCGGGTAAGGAATAAGTTCGGATTCTTTCGGGGACTCTACGAAACAGTGGGTGGTAAGCCCTTTTTTATTAGGAAGTTCCTCTCACTAGTAGGGTTCTCCGGATTTATCTGAGGCTCACGTTAAAAAGGTGGCTACGCCCATTTATTGGGACTGTCCTTTGGTTGACCTTCGTCTACTGTAAGGGCTAAAACATACACTTGTGGGCGGTTGTTAGGTCCTGTTAACCAAACAAACTCATGATCAACATGCGCAACTTGGCCAAGGGCGGAAAAGGATTTGCCGGCGCCGCTGGCAAATGGGTTTCAACCGCGGGCTTGAAGGCCACACGATTTGCACCCGAACACGCGTAGTACAAGGGGCTGAAGTACCAACATTCTTTCCCCATGGTCATAGCTTAACTTGGTTTTGTGGTCCCCCAAACCCGAACAGCGATCCCGCACTATCGAAGGCTAAGAACTGCGCATGGGGGTCGTTGGTATGGGCGTCTTCAGCACCCACCCCTCATCTTAATCTCCATCAGTTTCTCTCGGCCACATGCTGGTAATTAATTTCTCGGATGACCCGGGCTTTGAGGAAGTACACCTGCTTGATTTCTAGCCGAAGCGTTTTGTATCTTGGAAACAACTACTATAGCATTGACCTTCCCCAAAAGTGTAGTTCAAGTCCAGACATTGGGGGAAGTGAGAACCCAGTGTTTTTCTAACTAGCTGGTGCATGGAAACCTGCCGTTTGCCATCTATCTGGTTTTGTGGTGAAATAGCCCCAAAAACCAGCCAGCTGTTTTCTAAAGCCTGGGCCACCATGTCCTCCTTAGCTCCCTTTTGATACCTTAAGCTCTGCAACAGCTCCCTTCCAGCTGGCAGATTCTGGAGAATGGAAATCCTGATTTGTTGAACCCCTGGCTGATTTTCATTGGGGGGCGTCCCCTTTAGTAGGGATTCACACCCCCGTATCAATAGGACGGATTCTACTTTTTTCTGGGGTCAACAATAGGCGCGACAGTCGTGGTGAGTCGCCGGGCCTTCACTCGACTTGCTCTGGGGCCCTGGCTCACCGTCGCGCCCAAGCTTTGCCTCCTTCACCTCCTCCAAAAAGTCCGAGCCGCTCCCCACCTCGCCAGCTCAAAACGACAAGCGCGAAAACTTCCAACCAAACCGGTAAAACCCCTGGGTCTCAGTAGGCTTCTATGGGTAAAATGATCGGCACCCTTCCGGCAAAAAGGAAAACGGGCGTCCAGTGGGTTTCTAGGGGGAAAACAGAGTCGGCGCTTTTGTTTGGTGGATTTTCTGGCCTGATCGAAGTCCGTGGGGGTTGAATCACAATCCGTAATCCGCCTAATCCATGATCTGCTCGGTTGTCTTCTTATACTGCAGGATTGCAAAACCATGTGTCCCACAGGTCGTGCTCCGTAAGCAGCACAATCCAATCCGCAAGCTGGAACCGGATGATCGGATGGGAAGAAGCTCAACAAAACGCATCCAGCTGGACCCCAAACCACAAGGTTTCTGTCGCCCGCCTTGCAGAGGCCGCCGCGCAAGGCCAGGTCTTCCTGATAGGGCGGCAGCGCCTTGAGGGTGTGCACGTCCTGCGACAGCTGTTCCCCGGATCATAGCGCAACCTGAGGCCTTGCTTACTGCGGATGGTTGAAAAATCCGCGAGTCTCGCACCCACCGTTCAGAAACTCAAGGGAAAGATTCGATTCCCCAACGAAAATACCAACAAGCTTTATGGTTCCATTCTCATGAAGACTCGCGGATTTCGCGTCACCATCCACAGAATTGTCTTGAACTCAAAGTTGCTGAACTGGGCTGCGCTCAGATCCCCTGCTAAAAGTTTGATGTTTAGTCGGCTAAAAGGAACCCCCCATCACCAAACCCTGAAAACCTAAAAAAAGAAGGGGACGGCTGCGAGCCGCCACGTCTTTTGAACCACTTGGAAGGACCAACAGGGAACCCAGTTCGGGGCTTCGGCTCGTTTGGACAAACTGGGGGCCCAGGCTGCATAGAGCAGGCTGCAGCGCTCTGACACTAAGGCAGAGAGAGTCGCCTGCAAGGGCGACAGATTGGAGGTTTCAGTAATTGACTGCCCTCCATTTGCTTAAGTCCCCTGCACAAATGAGAAATATGTCCAGTAACGAAATCGACTCCTTTTCACACCCACAGGGGAAATTGAAACAGAATTGTTCATCTCAGCAAACGGAAAACCATCATTTGGCTGGATAAACCCTGGGGCTTGATGATCCCTCAAGCAAATCTCCACTCTAAGTACTCACTTGCCCAAAGGACCCAGAAAATGGACGCTTCTTCCTTTACGTCGATGCCTGGAAAGTGAGATCCTCTTGGCGCACCAGGCAGCCGGCAACATCTGAGCGGATTCATTTTGGGTTCCCTGTGGCCCCAGCCCCAAAAACGGTACCTTCAAATGACACCACATATAATTGTTTTCTCAAAATAGGAGTCCGTCATTTCCTAAAAGGGTCGAATTTTCTGAATTGGCAATGGTTTTCTTTGGGCTTCCCGTCAACCAACCAAAGGGGTTCCAGCAACTTGACAACCTCCCGATTAATGGGAACCCCCATCCTTCTGATAGAGGGGAACCCACAAAAGTGAATCATTCCCGCTAAAAGGGGCACCCCCCTATTCATCAACCAGGAGGTCTTCTTAGATCCGGGGTTCCCATTACCCGCCAGTTGTCGGCGGTTGCCAATTGAGCCCGCTCTGCCTCTGCGCGCTGGCTAGGACTGCCACAACCACGGATGCCACTGGCACCTTGGTCTTTCCGTGCGCGCCCGCAACGGGCCAAGGATTTGAAGGGAAACCACACATTTAGCAACCAATGGGTCTGAAGGGAAAGACTCCCTATCAAAGTAACTACCAGTACCAAAGTTACTTTGATAGGGAAACCCATTCAAAGGAACACAGGCACCCAAAGGTCACCCTGTTGCTTTCCTTTCGGTTTCCCTTGAAAACTAGACGACATCGAGTCCCCTCCCAAAAACAGACCCACCCTTCTGAAACTCAGCTCAAGGGAAAGAATCTACGAGTAGCGGTTCTTTCCATCATGAGGGCTTCATCCATCCCAATTGGTGGCCTTGCTGTTGGCTTGCGGTCTTTGCGATGACTTTCGTTGCAGAAAGGCAACATTACCCGACGCCTTACACAAAAGGTTCAGGGACGGTGTAAATACACAAACACCGAAGACACCCATTTTGCGCCGACAGGTCCACCAGCGCTGAGCGTCGTGCACTGCAATATATTCACCCTCTGTAGGTTCAAATCCTCCAATGCAATAGCGCCCCAAGAATGGCCCGATGCGGTCGACCAAAGTTGGTTGGCCTCAAACTCAGTCAGCCTCATTATTAAAGGATCCAAAAAGAAACAAAGGCTGTGCTTCAGATAGCAGAATCAACCCAAAACAGACCTCTCCGAAGGAAGATTCATCTGGATGCTTTGAAGCTGGGCTGAAGGGAATTGACGGGAACCATTCATTTGGCCTTGGGGCCTTGACTAGAGATAGGGGTACCTTCCTCATTCGGAGACCCTTCGTTCCAAGCAGGTTCTCGAATGGGGAACATCACCCATTCGGTAGACGGTTGCCGAAAGCGAAGGTTAAAGAGCTAAAAGGCGAATTCGTTTTGACTCAAGTCCCCCGGAAACAAAAATGCAAACACACGCGCCTGGCAAGGCGTGCATACGACCCCGCTAGCCCGGCCACGTGTTTTGACTTGTTTCGCCCCTGAAAGCAGACAGCCGCAGAAATGTGCCGTTTCTGGTCCTTTAAACAAATGGGTTTCCGTTTGCTTGCTCCTCAAATGGGTTTCTTTTTCTTGCTGAAGCAGGATGCACCCGAAAACAAACACACCATGGAATGCAGAAAATCCAGTTACCTTGCAGCAACCAGCTCTTCGAGCTGGGGGCAACGAACATCGCCATCCGCATCCCGCCGATTCCAGGTGTGGCGCCAGGCAAAACCACTGCTGCACCTGGCACAGGCCAGTGGCAAAGTCCAACTGACCTCCAAATTTCAGCTTCCCGGTAACTGGTTTGGAGCCCGGTGTGTTGGTGGTTAAGGGCTGGTTTCCCATTTAATTTAACCTCTACCAGAACCAAATTCGTCACCGAAACTGAGTGTGCAAGAGCCGCCAGAACCAGCAAAAGCAAGGGTAAGATGCTTACTCGCCCCGCAACGCGCAACGCTGGCCTTGCGACGCGAATTGCGCAACGCGGTACGCTCAAGTGTTCAGTGGAGTCTGAAAGTCTTACAAAGTGTTCACTGCAGCAATCTACTGAAATTAGATGCTCAGTTGGGTTAAAGTGTTTGGGGAAGTTCATGCAAACTAACCCAAAAAAGGAAAGGGCAGTCTTCGACCTCACTGTTTGTTTTGGTCTTTTTCTAGGCGCTTGACGTGACTTGACTACAACGCATTTCATTCACAAGCGTCGTTGGATCGATTACATGGCTCCCTTTCATCTGTGCCCCCAAAACGGATCCCTGCGCCCGCAATGTGAGGCTGTCCTAAAAGACAAGTGCAAACACTGCTTCGACAATTGCCAGATTGTGCGCTTAGGGGGGCTCTGCGCACGCCCGATCACGCTCCCAAACCCGATCCCTTTTAAACAAGGGCGCAGGAGTTGTGGAAATCCCAAGACAAAGGACGCCTCCAAGTGTTTCACTGGTTGCCCCCACACGCCCGAGCAATCCCAGGCTTCCAGCGTGTATCAGACCATCTTCAGACACCGAAAACATGCGCCTGCTGCTTTGCTGGGCTGAAGCTCCTTTTGCTTGAAGCACGCAACCGCGCGCCTGGCGCGGCAGGGGTGCCACATGAGTACCTGGCACGACGCCCGTGATTTCTTCCACCTTACACGTCGCCTGAACACGGCTCAACCCAAGACAGTAAGGCTAGAAGAAATCACGGGCGCCGTGCCAGGTACTCACGTGGCACCCCTGCGCGCCAGGCGCGCGGTTGCGTGCTTCAAGCAGAAGGAGCTTCAGCCCAGCAAAGCAGCAGGCGCATGTTTTCCGTGTCTGAAGATGGTCTGACGCACGCTGCAAGCCTGGGATTGCTTGGGCGCGTGGGGGCGGCCAGTGTTGGTGGTTCAGGGCTGGGGTGCTCACGTGGCACCCCTGCACGCCAGGCGCGCGGTTGAGCTTCAGCCCAGCAAAGCAGCAGGCGCATGTTTTCGGTGTCTGAAGATGGTCTGATACACGCTGCAAGCCTGGGATTGCTTGGGCGCGTGGGGGCGACCAGTGTTGGTGGTTCAGGGCTCGGGCGCGCCAGGCGCGCGGTTGAGCTTCAGCCCAGCAAAGCAGCAGGCGCATGTTTTCGGTGTCTGAAGATGGTCTGACACACGCTGCAAGCCTGGGATTGCTTGGGCGCGTGGGGGCGACCAGCGTTGGTGGTTCAGGGCTGGGGCGCGCCAGGCGCGCGGTTGAGCTTCAGCCCAGCAAAGCAGCAGGCGCATGTTTTCGGTGTCTGAAGATGGTCTGATACACGCTGATATGCAACCCAACCATGCTATTGAAACTCTGCACAAGGAAGAAGAATACTTGAACACCGTATGAGGAATCTAGTGGGCCCTGTGGATGAGAGTGCTATTGACGAAGAGTCTGAGCTGCATGCTTCTGCGCAGAAAAACCAAGATCTTAGCCTGTGATCCAAATGTTGCAGGAACTGTGAAAGAAGAAGGCTGCAAAGTAACACAAAAACCCAGAAGCCTGGAAAGCCCGCTCGCACAGGCCTTGAGTTGCCGCAACGCGCTGGCGTGAGTTGCGCAACGCGAGGTCGTGAGTTGCGCAACGCGAGTGGCAGGGCAACTAAGGTACGATGTAATGTTGACCCTGGATGAATAAACTTGTCCTACAAATAGGTGCGTGTTGCGATGAACCCCCACTAAAAGGGGACACCCCTATTCATCAACCAGGGGATCAATCCGGGGTTCCCGCTACTTGAACCTCGGACACTGACTGCCATTTGGGATTGTCACTTTTGCCAACATGTTCCCTCCATCTTGATTTTCCTGGGCTTCCCTTTCAACAAGGGTTTTTCAATCTCACGGTCTCCATTGCCAGTGCGAAATGAGTTTTTGGCGCTCACTTGAGCCACTTGAGCCAAGGCCACGGAAAACGAAAGGCCACGTGTTTCGATGGCGCGAAAGCCGAAAGAAACGGAGGGCGCCTGCCAGCCAGGCGCTGCTTACTGCGGTGCTGCCAAAGGCATGGCCTGGCGATCAATTCGGAGCGACCGAATCGATGGCGATGATTCTCAATTCGAAGGGAACCACCTCTTATCATGGACTGCAGGGGCGCGCGGGGGGGGGGGGCTATCCCTTATCAACCTCTTAATAAAGCCTTATTAACTTATTCAGGGCTTATTTATTCCTGTGTTATCCTGGGTGTCCTGTTTTTGAGAGTACCCCTTTTGTTGGTTGGTTTTAAAGGGACACAAACAGCAAACCCTTGCCCTTTTTGAGGGTCCGATTCCAAAACAAAGACACCCACCTCAAAAGCGGTTGCTGGACATGAATCCCCAATGATGTCCACCGAAGGGTCCCAAATTCACATTCATGCCCACTTGACAGTCAAAAAGGCGAAGTACGGGGGTTACAGAATCCGGGGTGATCGGCAAAAGTCAAGTGGTTTATTGCAGTATATTTATTTGGCCTATCCATCCCAACTGGTGCGAAGTGGATTTTGCTCATCCACAGTATGGCTTAGTGGTTCGTTGGCCTCTTGTTTAAAGTTACACCAGTGATAGATCCCTCGAAACTCTAAAGAAAAGCCAGAGGAACCATGTGGGCTGGGAACCGCCAAGATGAGTATTTGCCAAAAGTACTGTGGATGGACAAAGATCCTGCACCAATTGGTAGGTGGTTGATCGGCCAATATTTGCAGGGCTTCATGCATCCAAAGTGGTGCAGGATGTCTAAGTGCCCGTGCGTTCTCAAGAGGCCAGCGGCACAGAGCGTGATGGACACCAGCACCCGGTCCTCCGACTCAATGCCGAGGCCTCGTTCGTTCGGGCACAAAACGGAACCAAAGGAACGGTTTCCCATGGTTTCAAAGTGGTGCAGGACTTCGTCCATCCACAGTAGAAGTCCTTTAGTTGAAAATAGATGTTTTTGTTTTTCCCCTGGTAGATTGTGAAACCAGGAACCAAAACAAACGACAAAGGACACCTATGGTCCCCCCAGGAACTTGATCTTCCCACACCGGCGGGGGAAAAGGGTACTCTTTTTTTAAATATATATATATATATATTTTCCCGGTGCACATGCTATGTTATTAGAGGAAGGGTAAAAGGCCTTTTCATAGAACAGAGTTGTGTGGTACCAAGCCTAACTACGCCAATTGAGACCCTATTCACTTTCGATCGAGTGGACAAGCCAAATCAGTGACCAATATTTTTGTTGAGCGCTGAATTGTCTTCCTACCGCCTCTTGTTCTTGATGAGGAAGCAACTCTTGCCAGGGTTTCTTTCCAACAAATCAGCAAAGAGCAAGGACGCGGCTGCCGGTTGGTCCAAATGTGGGGCAACATACTAATTGAGATTCTAGTCTATATGGGTATGTGTCAAAATAGACAGACACCAAGCAATAGTGTGTCCGATACCTTTCCTTTAAACCAAGGTGAAAAGGGTACCACAAAAAACCAAAAAAAACTTGTATCGGCCATCATTGTTTCTCGACCCTAAAAGCTCCCATCGTTTTGCAGGAAAGCCCAGTTAGCCTATATGCTGACCTCCACAAAAGAAGGCGGTTGCTTTTTGACCAGTTTTTGGCTAGACACATGCAGGCGACGACCAGTTCCACACAGGCCTACTGATATTCCCAGTTCGCTGGCTGTTTTAAGGTCCCTGATTCTTCAAACAACACGGCCGGTTGCATCGCACTTGAGAGCTGGGGCAGCGCGCGCGCTTTGGCTGCTGCGCCTAGTACCTGGGCCAAAAGCTGAGTCGACACAAATTGGAGGCATTTCTCCAAATAGAGCATCCCCTTCTTTCACAACACAAACCAAAAGAAACATAGTCAACTTTAGGGATTTTCTATCTTCAGAACCCGCCAATTAAGCAAATCTTGTTCGAACGAGACGCCCATGTTTCAAGACGCTGGAAGTCACTGTAGTGGGAGGAATCCCGAAGACATACTTTAGAAGACCGATTCCCATGTGGCCAAGCTGGACATTTATCAGTACCCACGATCTATCCCTTCGCGTTTGCCTCCAGACCAGGCAGGCTTGGGCCAACCCATTCTTTAAATAACCTCCTTTGGGTGCCCAGGAGGTCTGGCTGCAACAACTTTTGCAGGACTTGGTTCCGGCGAGCAAAACCCGTGGGGCACGTCGATGGCCTCCGCATTGGTCAGGGCTTTGGTGCTGGACCAATACGCAAACCTCGGCTTGGTTCGGAAGGCGTTTGTCTGGCGCAGGGAACCCAGGATTGTGAGCTGCGCAACCGAACTAAGAGGGAATCGGGAACAATAGTGCAACAGCCCCCATTTATCCACCAGGTTGATCAATCCGGCAAAACTCAAGGCGACCGCTCCTAGCTCCGCTTGTGCCGAGCGCTCGGCACATCCCCCAGCTGCATGTTCACCGGGTCTCCCATAGGCAGAGATCCGTCCAGGTCTACAGACTCGGCGAGAACGATTGGCTCTTCTTTGCACAAATTGGTCCACCCAAATCCCAGGTTAGCGACGCAAAACTTGTTACACCAAAACCCTGGCCCCCTTTAAAGGGAAACCCAATTGAGGTTGGTTAAACGACGGGTGTTCATGTGTTTAAGCATGTTGAAACAGGGCGTTGACCTAGCCCTGTCCCAAACCCAACTCCAATATGGTCGACTTTGTATGGGACCAGCCTGCCAACTCATCACAAGGCTAGTGAGAAAGGTTTCAGCGAATGGAAGTTAAGAAGCTCAGGGTACCCCCAATGCCCACGTCCCGAGTTCATTGGACGCAAACATGGCCACTCAAATTGTCCTCCTAAGTATGAAGGAACTCGGGAAGTGGGTCCTGAAAATCGGGGTCCCCAAAATGGATGGTGTCCTTTTGGATTCCCATTAGACTCAAACGGGGGTCCCCGCCAACACACACAAGCCCAAGACTTGGGGCAGTAAAACGGAGCACTTAACACAAGTGACCTCCGCATAGACTAAAAACACTCGCGGTTTGTACAACCTCATTGACGGTCGTTCAAGGCGCCGCTGTGCTTCCTGAGCCGCGCGCCACTGCCTCCTCAGGGAGCGGATACTTGGCCTCGAAGCGGAGGGATGAGTGCAACGAGTTTGGCGTTGGGTTTGTTTGATGCGGTCCTCAAAGTGACGGATCCAAAATACATCATAATGGGCCTAGTTAGAATGGGGCGATCATAAAACCAAATCAAGTCATGACCATGGAAACTCATGTTTGCAATTTAGCCCCTCCCTCCGAAAATAGGTTGGCTTTCCTTTGGTTTTCCCATCAATCCCAGCAATCAGGTAGCCCTTAATTGGTGAGTGGAAATGGGAAGCCTATCCTCCAGCCCACCAAACCAAACCACCAAGTAGAGGGAAGCTGGAGCAAGGGTACCCTGAAAAAACACAGCCCCAAGTCACGGTTCGAAGGGAGACCACTCCCCATAATTTTGACAACCCCTTAACAGTTCAGAATGGGGCCCAGTTTGAAGCCAGCCCAAACAAGCCAACACGGAATGTTATATTGTTGAGGGCTTCCGAAGGCTTGAACATGCCTAACGGGAACCTCTTTTCCATCGATTAAAAGAACAGCCTAGAAAACCCAGAGGGCCGGGGCCCCAAATCAGTACTAGGACCCGGAATCATTCAAAGCCGTACCAGGCCTGGGCTGTCCGTTTTCTGATCCCCTGGTAAAACTGAAAACTAGTGGGCTCAATGGACACCTACCAACAAAAACCAACAAAAAAGCCATTCGCCTAAGGAACGGGATGGCAGGGAACCAAGAGGATCCCGCATTGGATTCACGGCAAACAACAACTCACCCACTCCAAAAACATGGGACCGATCCGCAGGGGGGTCCTGGAATAGACAATTCTCCTTCAAAAGGCGTGGGTTCCATGGCGTTAGTGGCCAGGAGGGTACTTGCGATGGCCTTTCCCTTCAAAGCCAACGGGAAACAATAAAACCCGAGCGCGCAGCCCATTTTGTCGGTGCCCATGTCTGAGCTGAGGGCGAGTGCTGGGTTCACGGAGTCCCCGGCTTTGTGCGTCACTGCCTAGTGTCCAAGCGGCGTCCAGTGTCCACTTCGGGGAACAAATCCCTTGACTATGGACCAAACCTGGAATCCAAGAAACCAATATGTCGCGTTCAAACGCAGCATCAAAAAAGCAGTGGGCTTACGGCCAAGCGCATTCAGCACTTGCTTCAAATTTGGACAGGAACCTCTGATCAAATACATGGGAAGGTATCCGAATTCAGCAACCCCTCAACTAGAACAAGGCTTCCCTTTGAACAGAACCTTCATTATACGGCTGATTGCGCTGTCGCTTGGCTGATTTGCCTCAGATCTTTGATGGTGCCTTTGGATGAAGTATTGAATTGGGGAGGCTAGCTCCGTTGCAAATTTCTCGGCTTACCATCCTCAAACAGGGTTTCTGAGCCATCGCCCTTAGTGGTGATCGTTTCAATGGAGAAAAAACAAAGTAGATTGATCAACTTTTGATTTGGGGAAACCCAGTGACCCCTGACCCCTGGTGGACCTAGTGGAAAAACAACTCTTCCGCATCTGTCGAAAGAACCACTCCCAAATTCAGGATAAACCGCACGCCTCCAAGAGCCCACACGAAAGAGGTACACCTAGAACAAATATTTGTTGATTCCGTTCCATATCTAGTCAACCCTTCACAAGAACACACATATCACATGCATATATATATATATATATAGTACACCCGCAGGAGCCTACGTTCGCCGTCGCCTCCACGGGCGGGGCGGGGCGGGGCGGGGCGGGGCGGGGCGGGGCGGGGCGGGGCGGGGCGGGGCGGGGCGGGGGGGCGGGGCGGGGCGGGGGCGGGGCGGGGCGGGGCGGGGCGGGCGGGGCGGGGCGGGGCGGGGCGGGGCGGGGCGGGGCGGGGCGGGGCGGGGCGGGGCGGGCGGGGCGGGGCGGGGCGGCGGGCGGGGCGGGGCGGGCGGGGCGGGCGGGCGGGGCGGGGCGGGGCGGGGCGGGGCGGGGCGGGGCGGGGCGGGGCGGGGCGGGGCGGGGTGGGTAGCGTCCACCGACCATGCTAAGGTGAGGTGGGGATGTTAGCGTGCGCGTTGACCCGGCACCCAGGTCTGGATGTCATGCTGAAAGCATTGCGGAACTACAGGCTGGCGTGCAGTAGCGATCAACTTCGCCTCTCACCGTGCCTTTGCTCCGGACAAAATCACTAGGATGGAAGGTTCGAATGGAGGAAGCAGAGCGCTGCTTGCTGCGGGCGCGACGGCGAACGTGGGCTCCTGGGCGTATACACACACATATATACATATATATATATATATATATATATATTATGTAATATATACATGCAACCCCCACAAAAGGGGGTGGCTTTCCTATCGTTTCCCTGTAAACAAACCTGAAAAGGGGCCGAGCCCAAAAGACACGGAGAGCCATATGGATTACTGTGGATGAACAAAGTCCATTTCGCACCAGTTGGGATTGGTGGTTTATCCACCATTATTTGCTGGGTTTCATCCAATCATAAGTGGTGCGTTTTGTGGATCGCGTCCACCCACAGTAGCGAATCCCAGTTTATCCTTTTACTGGAACCCCTTTGAAGTGATGCTGTGTAGGGTCGAAATCCTGCACCACCTAAGAAGCCCTGGAATGATTCACAAAGCAACCACCAACAAACTTCATTTCGTGGTGCGAGACTCGCGGATTTCGCAACCATCCACAGTATGGTCGTGGAATATCCATAAGTGACGATTCCAACCACTAAACCCAGAATTGGGCACCCCCCCCTTATTAATAAACTGGGGTTAATTAATATGGGGTCAGCGCGGTCCTGCAATAAAGGTCCCGGGTGACACGACGCACGTGACTCCGAGAAGCGGAGTCCGTCGCGGGTTAGCCCAGGCGCCAGCCGCAAATCTGTGACCTTCTCGAGCTCTGCCAAGGCAGCCTCGTCCTGTGGCCGGTGGGTTTCTGGGTAGGCGTTGAGTCTAAAGCCGATTTGGGGGTTGGTTTAAAGGGAAACCCAAAGGGTTGAACTTTGAGGGGGTCCTTTATAAGGGTAAGCCTTTTTTGGGTTGGTTAAAAGGAAACCAGGAAAACCCAGTCCTTTGTTGGGGGTTCTTTTATCCTCACACATTCCCTCATGGCCAAGTCCGCAAAAGAGCACCCTGTTTTGCAGGTTCCCGGAGCCGCTCCGCTCGATCATGTTTGCGGAGCCCTTGCATCTAAAAAGAAAAGAACTCCGAGTTTCCAGGACCCAGGGACAAACCCTTATTTGTAAGCCTCTAAGGACAGTACGAGGGTAATTACCCATGACGGTAATATGGAAGCAACATACAGAGATGCCAGAAAGCGGTCCAAAGAGTCAGAATCAACAGAGCAAGTTACATGGGCCAGTGGTCTGGCCCCCTGGCAATTTATGGACCTTGTGTCCAAGGAAAAGCCATACAAAAGCATTCTACAATGATTATGTGAAGAGTTCACCACTGGAGGTCTGGGGTTCTCAAAGTCGGACGTGGAGGACGTCCTTCGCAGTGGCCACCGACGCACCGAGCCAAGAGCAGGCCACCTGACGGAGATCGTCACTCAAGCCTCACTCGTTAGTTGCCCCGTGACTCTGGTGAAAAAAATGGTTGCACACAGCTCGCTTGCCTAAAGGATCTGGAAAAGGTTGACCTTCTGGGGCCATAACTGAAATGGATCAAAAAGGGGAAACCAAAAGGTGAAAAGGTCGTTTTTTTTTCACAAATGAGATGAAGGGGGTCGCTATATTTTCTTTTTTTTCCGGGTTTTGTTCGGTGTGTGTGTGATTTATTTTTAGTGGGACTCCCAGTTGCCCAGTTGGTGTTGACAAGTTTTAGTGGGGACTACACCAAAACGGAAAAAGGATGCGCCTGTTTTACGCGAATGTGCACTTGTTGCCAAAGGACCGAGGCTATTCCCCAAGCTGCCGCCATTGGAGTTGGAGTAATCTTGCTCGTGAATCGTCACTTGGTTTAGATGCAACAAATTCACCATCGAAGTTCAAGAATGCCAACGCAGGACGTTAAAAACGGTGATAAGATCCAAAGGAAGGTGAGATATCTCTCATGAAGTAAGCTCACACTGTCAGCTAGAAGCAAAACTCCATCATGACTCCCGTGCAAAATCTTGGGAGTAATCCAAAGGACCATAAAAACCCGTGGTTCGCCTCTGAGGGAAGCACATCCTTAGGGCCTTGGGACTCCTTTGAGTATGATTCTGATCGTTAACTCGTTTGCCCAAAGGACCCAGAACTTAAAGGTCAGCACCCTTTGGGGCCATGACCAAAAATGGGCCAAAAAGGGAACACCAAAAAATCATGTCAGGTCGGCCTTGAGCCATTGAGTTAAACATCGAAAGCAACATTACCCTCCCATGAATGTCACATCTTGGCGGCTTTGATTTGTCTTTGCTTTACCTTTGAAACTGCCCCCAAATTGAAACCCGAAAACACATACACACACACACACATGTCTACCCTCTTGTGACATAATGGTATACTCCCATTGGCACTTGGGTCCCGGTAGTGGGTTGCAATCGCTGACAGATGGGATCCCATGTACGGCATGTTTTCCCTGGCGAGCCTGGTTGTGGAAAGGAAGCGTTTCAGTGATACCAACATGGACGATCCCTATGACTACTTTATCACTCTACAAGGGATGTCCTTGGAATCACAGAAGTGGGATTTCCCCGAAGCAAACCATTTTCCACAACCAAGCTCTATCCCCACAACTATATAACCACAAACAGCTAGTAAATCAGGGGTGTCCGTTCTGCGTGATACTTTGCCCAGAGCTACGGTGCATGCTCCTGTCATACTCAACCACAAAATCACAAACATGGCGTGTTTGAAGGCTTCCTTGTTCTCTGAATTGCATGCAAAATCCAGTTGACATCCTCTGTAGCCGCTGTATTCCTGGATTAAACCTAATTTCCTTGTTCCTTTGACAACCCAATACTATTCTCCAAAAAGACACACCGAGCGATGCCCAAAACTACGCGACGAAAAAGCGGCCTGCAGCAGCAAATTCTCCACGGAGTTGGGCAGGTCCGTGGCCACGGTGCACCCGGCTGAGCGAGAGCCGATTTTTGTCGGTTCCGGTCGGCAAGGAACCATCCAGTCGCACCACATTCCAAGAAGCCTTGATCTTCACTCCAAACATTTCACGGAGCATGTTTCGGATGTCGGTCGGCTCCGTGTCGCCAGAATCAAGGCTTCCCAAGGCGCGGTTGAGACCATTTGGGTGTGCATTTTTTAGAGCCACAACATGGTGATTGTCCAGCTTTCCCCTTCAACACCACAAAAAAAGGGGTGCCATTTGTTTCTGTGTCAACGAACTCGCCGAATACCGCACTCTTGCCCTGCTCAGTCGTTGCTTTTACCGCGAGGTTGAGTCATGTGGGATGCTCTGGGCTTTCCTGTCCAGCAACATGGAACCTGACTGGAGAGCCCTGGAAGACATTTCCCGACAACACCACCCAAGCACCAGAACCTTCCAATGGACCCTTGGAAGGTCCTGTTAGTTTCCCTTTCACCAAGGCAAACCCGCGAGGGCCATCTGAGAGCCGCACGCCCGACTTTGCGCTGCGAGAGCCATCCAGCGACTCGGGAGGCCTGGTGTCAATGATCGACGGCTTGTCTCATACTGTGAATGAACCAACTCCGCCTTCGCAGCAGTTGGGATGAAGGAAGCCCTGAAAGCAGGTCCGTGCACTCTTCGACTACAGAGTTTCCTTTTGGCTTCCCTTGAGCTTGTAAATTTGATACCAACCGAGAGAAAGTCCGACATACATTTTGAGAAACTCCCATATGCCACTAGCAGTTGAAACAATGAGTGCCGTGTTCGAATTGTCCAATCTTTCCTTCCCCAAATTCCCCCACCTTCTCGCTGAGCTCACCGAAGCTCCAGGTGACCCCTGGCTTGCTTGCGCTGTTCGCGCTTGACCCCCGATTCTTCGGGACCCGTCGCTGGATGTTCCCTTGAACAGTTGCAGTTTCGCAGTTTACTGGTGGTTTTGTCCAAGGGAAATGGAGAGACCCTGATCTTGGGACCTCAAAAAGGGGCCTGTTTAAGGTCCAAAGCCTTCCGAGCAGGTCCGGTGGTGGGTTGATCACAGGTCCTTTACAGACCAGGGGCAAGGAATATGTTGTTGTTTCGTTCGTGTTTTTTTTTTGGGGGGGGGGCGAGAGAAAATCGATCAACTCCATGGCATGCAAAAAAACAACAGGTTGGAGATTTAGAGGCTCTTACACCATGTGAGAAGGTGGAACCGGTGAAAGAAAGCCCATGGGCTGAAGCTCTCCGAGCGGAGGAGTAGATCATTGGTCCCTGAAAGGAAACAAAAACAATTTGGGTGTGTCTCTTTTTGCAGTGGGTACTCCATTTCTGGTGGTTTCAGCGGGCAACCCAGAGGAAACAGCATCATTTTGGGGGCCTCCCCTGAAAAAGACAACCAACTTTTTGCAACTTGAGATTTGGTCCTCCTTTTGCATACACGGCTCGGAGCATGGCAACATCCTGCCCATTCACAGGCACCGATTTGTGGGACCAAAGTTGGTCAAAATCCGTGGTTGCAGCCGCAGGCTAACTCTCCGGTAGCAGCTCACTCCGGCGCCCGCCAGGCCAAGTATGTCATTTAGTCTGTGGGTCGCTGCTGTTGGCCAAACGGCGAGGCTGGAGCGTCTGAGAGGGCGTGGCCCGAGGTCTGGACTCATCAGAGGCTCAGGTCCGTCAACACGCTTCAGGTTTTACTCACCCTGGCAACCTTGAGAGCGCGCAAGTGTTGCCTGGCGCAAACATTCAGGAGAAACGCACGTGAGCCACGCACAACACGAAGCACACACGCACACAATATCCACACACAAAACACAGGTAATTCAACAAGTCGCCCAGTTTGGCAACAAAGGAGTGACAAATGTGCCTTTAGGACAACACCAGGGAAACCCGCACAAAAAGAAGACGGGGCAAACCGTGGAATCGACTGGAGAACTGAGAACTGAGGTTGGTTAGAACCCCCTACCATGGACGATATTCCCAACACACCAGAGCTGGTAGTCCAGCCAACGCGTAAAGTTTGTGTCGGGACTATCATCCCCAACACCCCCGCACCTTTGGCAGTTCTAACAGACCTCGAATTTTGCGTTTGATAGGGAACCCAATCATTTTCGGATAGTATCGAGAGAAAACAAAGGCAAACAACCATGAGACAAGAGGGTACATAAACAGGCAGGTTAAGTAACACGATATACTCTTGGCCATTTCTCAAAGGGCTGAACTTGGACCCAAGCCAGCTCTAAACTGGCAGCTTTGTTTGGAAGTGCTCTTACTACCCCCCCCCCTCTGCTCACCCACTAACATGGAATCTGACAGGGTCCTGAAAGACCAATTGGCCTGGGGCATCCAAAAGGAAAACCATTTTGGGGGCCATCTTAAAAAGGGCATGCCCATTTCGGCGGGTTTCATGTTACTGTTCCTCCGAGCTCTGCGCGGCTCGCCTTGCACTCGCTGAATATGGGTGGCTTGTCGTTGAGTTGATACCTTTGTGTCTTTTAACAGGAAACCAACAGGAAACCAACAGGAAAGCCACCATTTTGGGTGGTCCCCTAAAAAAGACACACCCATATGCACCTGGAGTGTGTGCCTGCTAGTTTTCTATTTCGGATCTGATTCTGTGAGTGATTTTCCCTTAAAAGTGATTTTCCCTTCAAGCAGCTAAACTGTCTACCACTGATCTGCCAACTACTATATTTCGTGCAATGGAAGGCAAAGGAAACCCCAGTGCACGACTTCCACGAAGCACTCATGGAAATTGGCTCAACTGACATTGCGTTGGACGTGAGCGAAAAAGTTATGATCCCGTGTGGTTGAGCAGATCCCTCGGGGCAACTGGGCTGTCCAAACTAGCCCCCGCTAAAAGTCAAGCACTTTTAGTGGCTTAAATGGAAACCCAACCACCAAACCCGAAAATCCTAAAAACCAAAGAAACCACCTGACTGGGAACCACCAATAGCAGCTTGGGGAAGCTCGAAGCGTTTTCGCCACAAAATGCCTTGCTGTGGCGCTGCCACTGCCACCCGGGATGCCTGGCTCAACTGGGTACTTGAGCTGGCTCAAGCCAGCCGCGGGAGGCCACCAAAGCAATCGCCCAACGTAGACAGTTTAGATCCCCTGCAAAAAGTCGAAAGCTTGTGGGTTAAATGGAAACTACCACTAAATCAACTACAAAGCTAAAAACCTACGGGGATGGCTGGGACCACCCCCCGGTGCTTTACCCGTTTTGTGGTTGAACTTGGTTGGGTCACTAGCTATAGTTGCGCAATCCACCGTGGAGAATCAGTACAGTATATACGTCAACTCCAGTCTGCTGAAATAACATCTTAGCAAACGGGCCACAGTTTTGGTTGATCTGATCACCTACCACAAGCAGGCCTGCAAACAAATACAACGCTAAGCATGCCACCAAGCAAGATGGGGTGCGCAACCTGTCTGACTGTGTACATCGGATTCATCTGGAGAAGCGTTCTACAAACACCACCTTCAGACAACACACTGTGGATGGACGAAATCCTGCACCACCGAAGCAACCCTGGAATGCTGATTGCCCTGTAAATTCCAACCAACAATGGTTTCCCGTGGTTTCAAAGTGGTGCGAAATGGATTTCGCCCATCCACAGTACTTCTCGCCGACCCTGACAAGTCTGGGGCTCCAAAAACAAGTTGAGAGCCATGGCTCTTGCCAAGGGCAGCGAGGCTCTTGTCAGGCCCCATGAATCAAAAAGCTCGGGTTTTTCGATTCACACCCATCCCCATGAAGAAGCAGTTGGAGAGTTGGAGCGGTTTAAAGGGGAACCTGTCTTTGGTGCCCTTTGATTAGTTGGGGCCCACCACCCCCCCCTTTGGGCGAAAATCCCGGTCTTCCCGACTCTTGTCATGCCTGCCTGGGCTTCTCCTTGAGAACTTCTACTTTGGGAATTTGGCTGTGCCCCCCCAAATTCCCAAATAAAAAGGGGGTTTAAGGGAAGAGGATGGTTTTCCTGCTGGCTTTCCACAAACCAACGCTCCCGGGAAGGCGAGGAGCACCAGACGTGGACATGGAATCCAGGCCTTGTCAACATGCAGACCGATGGTTGGGACTTCTTGGCAGCGACCCGGGCTCCGAAACCCGTGGATTTGTCTCATGGGATCCGGATCCTCCAAACATCCAGAAAACTAGAAAGTTTCGCAAGGTGGACCCAAATGTTTGGCTGGTATTTGAAGGGACACCAACAGGGTTTTGCAGCCTTTTGGTGAGGGAATTAATAAAAGGGAAATCGAAAGGACGCCAACCAATTCTTGGGGCCAACTCCTTTGAGATGGGTCACTAGTGTTAGTCATACAATACTAGCCTACGCTTGACCACATGTCCTAATGCGAGCCCACGACAGCCGGCGACAGCCCGGCACAATTGGCATGCTCCAGCCTGGGAGAGCCCGGCCTGGGCGCGCAGGACATCGGTGCTGTTTTGATTTGACTGAAATGACAGGTATCGTAGGGACAACACAGGGTCTTTTCAAATTGTGTAAGGGTTGATGAAGCCAAATTGATGCTTGAGATGTTCAGCTTGGATTGGTTCAGCTTGAAGAACACATAATATGAATAAAGCCAGAAGAGCAGGTGCAAATGGGCACTTGGTTCAGAAGCGCTGGAGCCAAACGCCACCGAAACGTGCTTCCGACTTCCTCTTGTGCCAAACTTGTCCCGAAATGTGCAGGACAGGAACCCCCCCCTAAAACGTAGGCCAAAGCGACGGACGGTTTTCGGGCTTGCAGGGTAACCTTGCTTGACAACCGCCAAATTGGATGTTGGACCCAGCACCTGAAGAGCTTTAAGGACGATCTTTTTGGTTGAGCCTTGGAACAGGAAAACGTTGCGGTATATTTGGGCATGTCTTTTTTGATGGTTACCCTTTTTGGGATCGTAGAGAGACACCAAAGGAAACCACCCATTTTTGGGGCTTGCCCTTTGAGACAAAACCATGGCCAACGCTAGAAGCTATTTGTTTTCTCCAATGGGTTCCCTGCTCCGCCCGGAGCCAGCAACCTGTTCCTCCCCCGGTGGCCTGGCTCACCAGCGACGCCAGGCTGCCCTTTGCCCTCGCCTAAGGCATCTCTCATGCGCGATTCGAACAGAGAGCCTTTGCCTTGCTGATGGGCCCCAGCTACCTCTGGGGCTCCCCCCTGGTGCCGCTCTTTGGGCTACAGAGCCTGTGGGGCAACCCCTGGTACCTCCAAAAGCGACCCCCAAAACTGGGTCAGTCGTACTACCAAAATGGCTGACCAGGGGATTTTCGGCGCTCACATTATGGTCAAAACTCCCAATCTGTCGGTGGCTATCTAAGGTGGTTCACAAAGGGTTTCTCTTGAGGCAAAAACACACACATCTTACATCTTGGCAAAAGAGCCACCCCCCCACCCCAGATGAGTGATTTGCATTTGGTTTCCCCTGAAAGTAATGCCCAGAAGGGATTTCCCAGGTGCCCCGTGATCAAGTGGTGGGCGTTTTGCACTTAGAGGTCCCTTTTTGCTGTACTTGGAGATATCTGAGATCACCCTTTCAGAACCACAACCATCCGGCTTTTGGAGGGTGTTGGCTAAGTTCCAGAAGCTTATCTCTTCGATGACCATGCATTTTCATTGGGAAGCCCCTGAAAAACGGTTGGTGGACCTAAGTCCCCAACTAAAGTGATGTTCACCAAAGTCCGCGAACCATCAAAACTCATACCCAGATATCACCTCTTCCGATTTGCCAGACGCCTCCCGCCGAATCGCGACTCGGAATCGCAAAACCGGCCTGCGCATGGACCCCGCGCAGCGCCTGGAATCGAAATGGCTATGAATTTCAATGTGGACCTGCCCCCCCTCGGGCAGATGTCAACATAAACCCCCACCGAAATCATGCCCCACCAAAGGGGCGCGAATTCAACCTCATATCCAAATGGCGGTCTAAAGGGGAAACAAGCACTTCAAGGGACCCAGAACTGCGCCTGGCGCAAACCTCCCCGTTTGGCCTGGCAGCGGCTTGTGGCGAAGAATTTCTGCGCCAAGCTCGCCTCAGCGGGGACTTTTGGCGGCTTCCTGATTGGGGGCTGTCCCAGCATGGGACTTCGGCTTTCGGGGTTGCAGGGGGCTGAGGCAAGCTGAGGGCTGTCCGGGTGAATTTAGTCATTCTGAGCAAATCATGATAATTCTCACACCGCAAATAGGGGAACCTTCTGACAGCACCTGGCATGGGTGAAGTCGGAAAATCCAGTGACGTTGTTACGTATGATTTGCCCAGGTGGAAACCCATCTGAAAGGGAGCAGATTCAAAGCTCGAAGCCGAAGTCCACCGGAACCCAACGGAACCAAACCTTTCAAAAACTCATAGGGTAGCCAGTCACATCTCCATAGCCCCGGACCTCAAAATGAATCCGTTGAACCTGCTCAAGACCACTCTGCCTCTGCGCAAAGATTCAACCAATGGGCAAAAACAGCAAAGGGTCAACAAGCCTATTTGATCAAACGCCAACAAGCACAAAAGCCAACAAGCCACCAAAAAAGCCAGCAAGCAGGCTTTCTCGAATGGAAGACACATTCGCCGTCGAAGCCAACATGCTCCAAAGCCCCTTGACCAAGGGCAGGAGTTGTTTTGGCAAAAACAAACAAACAGAAGCAATTCTGCATCACCTTGACTGGGCTGTGGGTTTTCAGATCCCCGGCTAAAAGTCAAACACTTTGAGTAGTGTGGAACGACCACTAAACCAAGTAAAAACCTAATAAGGTCCCGGATGGCTGGGGTTCCCACCAAGTTGAATGAATTCTTCAAGTGGGCTGACGTATGAACCCCTTCCACATGCCATGGTGGTCTTTTGGGCTCACTGGTGCTCCTGATTTGGGATACTCCATCAACTTGCTGGTTCTCAGCAGGGAACGAGTTGGAATGACCCCGACAGAAACCATCCCCTGTGACTTCCTTAAGGCAAGCCCTGGGTTCATTCCCAAGACACGGAAGGTCATTCCCTACTGAGCACCAGCAAGTCAAATTCTCTGCCTTCCAACTGACCCACGCCATCTCTCTTGCTGGGAAGCGCGCCATGGCTGAGAAGCCTCTTGGATGGCTTTCGACGTTGCGTGACCAGCTTAAAAGGGAAGCTGCTGTCGGTTTGAACGCGAAAAGGGATGTTACGGGCGCCACTGGGCGGCTGGGCGAAGGAAAACAAAGGCTACGCACGTAACCAACAAGAGTGTTCAGTATTCTTGGTTTGAGCAAATCTCAGGCAAAGGCAACCAGTTTCTTGTATACCTTGTACCTGCATACGAGTGGGAGAAGGACCGGTGTTCAATTTGCTTGAGAGCATCGCGATTTCTGCCGAAAATGGCTGCGGGTTGACAAGTTGCTTGCAACGCCAAATGGACTCATCGACAATATGTGGGTTATGCAAGGGATGTGCACGAAGCTTCGAGGCGAGTATGTCCATTTGGGGTATACAGGACCTTAGATTGCACCAGGAACACGTACAGCTTTCACATCAAGGAGCATGCAGCTCAAACGAAGCAGGAACAAATACAAGTGATAATGCCACTTCGGAATACCTCATGCCTTTCTGTGGTTTCCCATCATGTCCCATCCAGCAAATGTTTACTTGCTTACTGTATACTGTGATGACAACAGCCACCGGAAAGAGCCATCTGTCTTTTTGATCAGTAGATTGCTTTTCATGCTGCTGCAATAAGTAGGGAATGACGCAGGGTGCTGGGAGTTAACCCAGGGATTCGCTGTAGGGGTCATTCCGTCAGTCCATGCTGAGAACCAGCAAGTTTTGAGTGTGGCGCTCTGAACCAGGTATTCCTTCACTGCAAATCCACGAGGTGGATTCTTTCTTTCTGCCCAACGTACGGTAAAGCCATTAAAAATGTCAAATAACGCCATTCGATAGGCTGGAGGTTCTGTCTATCCATGGCATGAACCCCCTCAGACATCGCAGGCGCTCGCTCGCAGCACCCAGAGAGCGGTTTCTTACCACACGCGGCTCTCGTTGGCCGAAATTTTGCGCTTTCCCTCATGGGCTGTCTCTGGAGCGCATTGCAGACTCTGCAGGGGAAAGCATCTGCACAGATCGAAGCTAAACTCAACAGCAACAGGTTATATGTGTTCTACTGGATCTGATATCAAGTTCAGATGCATGTGCATTCTTAGTAAAGTGAGGCAAGTGACTTTCCTGTTGGGTGGGAGTTTCTTTCGCAGGCTGCAAGAAGTGCTGCAGGCCTTTTGTTGGTGTTTCTCAAAATGGGCATTGGCACCCTACAGTGGCCACTCATCAAAAGGGAGCCCTTCACTTCTTGGGGAGACCCCCTTGATTCGCCAGGTGGATTAATCAGAGTATCAACGACTAGACTAGATCATCACCTTCATCAAGTGGATTAGCTTGGCTGCTCAAAGAAAGTGGCAACCAAAATGCTCATGTTGCAGAATGTCTCTCGATCTTCCACCAGGGTATTGACTTGAATTGGGGATCTCTGGGTGGACATCATTTACATGCTGGTTTTTGTACACCAATCATTTTGATGGCATGTTCCATAAAGATTCATGGCCATACGAGCAGCATGTGTCAAACTGATTTGAATCTTGTTCGGGACGGTCTTCGAAGGAGACCAAACTTCCATTTGCCTTTTCGCCCCCAGGACAAGAATAAGTGTCCAGCAGTGATAGTTTCCTTCAAAACCTACAAGGAAAAACAACATATTCATCTCAGCAACTGGAAGCAAAGACAACCAACCTTTTTGCGCAACCCACATAAGCCTTTCCCCCGAAGCCGCTAAGGCTACTCCGGCCGCTCGACTAGGCCGGCGAGCCCCATTTTTTGAGGCGATCACTCACTGCTGAGCTTCTTCGTCAGCGATGGGATTGGCGTGGATGATGATGCTCTGGGCAAGATCAACACTTCAAGCACCCAACGATCGTTGTTTTTTGCTCGTGGGTCCGCTGCTAAAAGTCAAACTTGTAGGAGATGATCTGTTGTTGGGGGGACCCCCAACCAAATGAGGGAAACGAAGCTTGGGAAACCAAAGGAGCCTGGACACCAGTTTTAGCCGCAGGTTTACAAAGGGCCGGGCCGGGACACCTGTGCGACTTTGGGAGAAATTGAGAGACTTCCTTTCGGGGAGCCCCTTCTGTCGTCAATGTTGGAAAGAGGACTTGATTGAAAATGATTGAAACCTTGACTGAATGACCAGAAGGAAGCCCAAAGTTTAAAAGGTTAGTGGACTTCAGAACTCAAACGGCAATCCACCCAAACTCCGCGAATGAGATCGACGAGTCTGAGTAATGTTTTGCTTTACGGCCTGAATCCAAGGTTCCCTGAAAGGTCATGACAGGAACCTTGCTCATGCTCCCCAAACCAACGACCGATTGCATCGGTCATGTCAGCGATCTATCATGATTTCATTCGAGTCAAACCAGAATTCAAAGGTGTCCACCCAAAACCATCAGAGCCAATTAAAAGGTTTCTGATGGCTGGCTGCACCAGCTTCTCCAGAACCAACTGAACCGAAGAAGCAGGGCCTTACGAGGAGACTCCTAGGGCTGGAAAGTTATCAAGACTTGGACCTGCAATAGGTGATAGCCTCACTGCCCATAGTTTTGCTTAGAGGTCCATGATAAAACCTCCCTCTCTAGCTTCCATACTTTCACTACACTATGTCATGGCGGGAACCCAGGATTAATAGACCCATTGTTGATTTTGAACGGGGGGGCTTTAAGAGTGAATCCGCATCAATCCTTGGAGCAACACCCAGCAAATCAACCAGCTGATTCATCCTTCAAGAAAACACCGTCTCTACAATGGCATCCATTCAGCCCCCGGAATGTAGGTGCTTATTAGGGTTTCCCCCCAAAAAAACAACACCACCCCTCTTTTCGCAACGATTCGGATCCTCAAAGTCTGCCCCGTCCATGCCTCGACTTTGATGGGTCTCATCGGCCGGTTCTTGGCGTTGATCGGTTCCTGAAAAATGTGCGACCAACGAAAAGTCTCACCCTTCTACAAAGATGTTGTGAACAAAATTGCCCGCACCTTGGATGAATGAAGCCCTAGAAATATTGGGTTAAACCACAAATTGACTGCTGGGTTTTGTCCAGGCTACCTCGAAGAACAAATTCCTCAAGGCTCCCTGTCAGGTGACGCTCAGAACAAACAAAAAGGAAAAATGGATTGGTCTCTCAACATGTACTAGTATCCCTTTTTGTTGCTTAGTTTGAAAGCAACCAAAGAGGAAATTTCACATGTGAGAAGCCTCCAACTACCTTCGATTTATGAGGTGTTGTTTCGTTGCACAGGCTTGCAGGCTATCCATAGAATCTGCGCGAACAAAAATGGGCGTCATAGAATCAAGGTCAAACCCCCTGGTGGACCTGAAACACATGACCCCAGCTTCTGACTTGAGCCCTGGATTCCTTCTCTTCGCGGACGTGACAAAGCGCCCACAAGGGCAGCAGAGTGTCAGCTTCTTCCTGGATGCTTCTCAAAATGAAGGAGCCCTGTTGATTGTTCCAAAATACTGTGGATGGACAAAATCCTGACCTAAGGAACCCTGGAAACATGATTCCCTGTAAATATTAACAAACAACTGTTTCCGCCATGATTTCATAGGTTGTGCGAACGGACTTCGTCCATCCACAGTAGTTCGACAGGTTTTCAGGTGTGGCCCCGGTCTCCTGATGGAGACACAAACATCCGACCCGTCACTCCGGCTCTCCTTCTCCATCTTGTCGAGTGTGTCAAGGCCATCTATCAGCCTGCGGAAGAACAACACATCGGCAATACCGCAACAAGCACTACAACCGGCAAGACCAGCAGCCTTACCACCACCGACAAGAAAAAGCAGAACAGGAAGAACGAGGAGAACAAGGATAAGAAGAAGAATCAAGAGGAGGAGGAGGAGGAAGAGGAGGAGGAGGAGGAGGAGGAGGAGGAGAGAACACAAGAACACGCCTTGCGGGTGGAGCTTGCAGGGGTTTTGCCCCAACTCTGGGGTACACCAAACAAAGATTGGTGGCTCGTGTCCAGGGGGGCCAAAAAAGGCGGCGTTCAGTTTGACTATCCGTTTAGGACACGTGAAAAAGGAAACAAAGAAACAAACTGCCCATATTTGCTGATTCTGTTTCATGCTTAGTCAAGCCAAACACGTCATATGAAATATGTTCTGACAGGAGGAGACCCCATTCCTCGAAGCAACGGCTAACTTTTCTGGGGCGCTTCGTTTGAGTTGAGGGCCAACCCCTACCCATGGAACAAGACACAATGGCCAAACTCTCAAGATCTGGCCACGTTGCTGAAATTCCTACAGGTTAACATGGAACCACAAAACCCACCCGTGTGGTTTGAGGAACCTCCCAACATGGGAAACAGACCCTTTGGGTTCCTTCCGTTGATTGATTGGCAGGGGAGTAATTCCCAACCTGGAACCAAGGGAACCCACTATCAAAAACCCTCATGGCGCCCAAGCTCATTTCAACCCGATCGATGAGCTCGTGGAATATCAATGACTATTTTATCACTTTCAAGGGGAGTCGCGGGATATTGCAGAATCACCCTAAAAACATAATCTGCTTTCCGACCAAAAAAGGGGGGTCAAAAAAAGAAAGGCGAAGAACGGCGATTTGCTTTGGACTTTGGGCCAGTGACTCGGATTTTCGGTGGGCGCCTGCCAAACGTGGTGTACACGCCGTTGAGGTGAGGCTGTCTCGCGTACCTTTTTTTTCAGCCCACGCCGTCTGGCGCTGCTGCGGCCATGATTACAATGTGGTGCGAACGGAACTCGTCCATGCACAGTAGGACCCAAAACTTGTGCAGGGAGGAAAGGGGGAGGAAACCGCGGGGGCTGGGGGGTGGGAGGAAACCAGGGGCAAATCAGCTGTGGAGATCAAAGAGCGAAGTTTGCGACACTGACCCCAAGGCCAGGGAAAGCCTTTGCGAATGCAGCCTGAACCCAAATGGCAACAGCTTTCTGGGGTTGGGGGGTCTTAGAAGTACGTATGGCGTTTCCATAAAAAACTGTCAACATAACACTCCCTGTCTACGGCCCAAGTCACAGGCCCAGTCCCTGCCTTTGAGTTCATCAGCCACCGAGCCAACGAGACGAGCCACGGACGACCTCCCTTCCAGCGTTGCCATGGAACCCAGGTACTCGGGTTGAACCGGGGGCTCATGCCATTTGCAATCGTTTCAACCTTCGTTTCCGGAAATCCGTTCCCCCTTTCTGTCTTGAGGTTTTGTGGAAACAGTTTGGAAAGGATGGAGAAGTTTTCAAGTCGGAACTTGGGCTTTTCAACAATTGGAATGGCGGGGGGGTTACTTTGAGACCAATCTAAGCCATGATCATGGGAGCCACTAGCCACTTCTCTAGCCGCTCAGATCTGGGCTGGACTTAGCTTGCTGGTGCGATGGGTAGGAATGACCGGAAGCAGGGGATTCCGTCAAAGGAAACAACGAGGGATGGTTTTAGGGAGCATTCCCTCATTCCCTGCTGAGCACCAGCAGAACTTCTTGCTGGTTTGAAAGGGAAAGGTTTCAAACAGGTTGACGCGAATTCTGGTGAAGAACAGTGGACGAGGCTGCAAAGTAACACTTTAAGCCAAACAACACATCGTCTCAACAGGAATCTCCCTGTGTGGGACCTCGTTTTCGTGGCCCAATCTACACGCTCTTTTTTGTTTCTGACTTGTTCCCCAACAGCTGAAAGCTTTGGGGTCTCAGCCCAGATAGGCTCCGGGGTGGTCCGGGCGGCCCTGAGGTAAGGTTCCACGAGAGTTCCACGAGGGTTCCACGAGGGTTCCACCAGGGTTCCACCAGGGTTCCACCAGGGTTCCACGAGGGTTCCACGAGGTTCTGCAAGGACTGCCGGGTGGGGCGAGCACTAAAAAGACCACCGCGTGCTGGTGGGGATATCACGTGAGCTTATTTCCATACTTCTCGTCTGGGGTACACAGAAGATTATGTTTGTGAGCCCGTTCCATATTTAGTCTGTCCTAACATATAACCATATATATATATGATATATATATATATAACATATTCTTGCAGGTCCCAGTTCTTATTTGGGGGCAGAACAAAACAACACATGCAACCGAACAAACAAAACAGGCGCAACCTTCCGCTGGTTGCACGTGATGAAGAACTGGCTGCCGTTGGTGTTGGGTCCCGTGTTCACCATCGACAGGATGCCTTCCAGGAGTGGACAAATTTGAACAGTTCCTAAGTAGATTTGCCCAAAAGGTCTAAACTTCTTGGTTACCGCCAAAATGGACTTCCCAAAAGTATACAGTCCAGAAACTCACGGAGTGAGGACTGGGAAGTCATCTGGTCACACGGGCGACTCGTTCTTCTTTCTGGGCTAGTACCCAATTTGGGTTGTCTGTTTGCTCGAAACCCCAAAGAAAACCAAGCAGTAGGGTGAAACCAAAAGAACATTTGTCTGTTTTCTCAAGCTGGTGCCCTTTTCAGGCTGGTGCCTTTTTCGGAAAGTGAAAGGAACACAACTCTATCTCTAGGGGTCTGCTGCTTTGACAAAATGACGTGTTTCCCAAGAGGGCATGGAATAGAAGGTTGTGCCCCATGGGCAAATTGGGCTCCGCCCGGTTTTGCGGTTTAAAGGCAATGCGCGGACCACGCAGGGTTTGAGTCTGGAGCCGCTTGCTCAACCGAGCAGGCGTGCATTCCATCGCACAAAGTTCGAGGCAAAATCCTCTTTCAAACAGCGTCGCCTGATCAACATCTCTGTGCGTCGGTTTGCAGCATCTCTGTCTGTGCAGCATGTTTTGGCAGGACTTGGCACTGACGAGAGCAAATTTGGTGTTTGATACGTGCGTTGGATTTTGGTAACCTCTCTCTGAATGCCGTTGAGAAGTTGTTTTGGCCATAGATACTGAAAGCCTCAATGGGGTCAATGTGCCAAATAAGGCAACCTGCAAAGAGACATCCACAGGATAAAGCACCGTTTTAGTGCGCCCCTAAGACACACACTCAGTTGTTCCCCGTGAAATGCTGTGGCATCTGTCCCGAACGGAGTGGAGACGGTTGCCATGGAGTGGCCAAATCGCGAGCAGAAGGACAAACTCTATTTCGAGCCACCGTTCAGGAACCCTGCAATGGTTCGATTCCCCTGTAACCAACAAATGTTATGGTTTCAACCATGGCTTCATTTCGTGGTGCGAAATGGATTTTGCAACCATGCACAGTAGTACCATTCGCCGGTGAACCAAGCTACTACACTAATGGGATGCCTAACGACACACCAAAATGGGTAAGTGTCAGTCCGAACCTCCCAATTTGCACACACTGCGCAACAAAAACAGTTTTTCACAGCCTCGAATGGGGGACCCGGATTGCTCACAACAAGGAACCGGTGCCGATCGAAGCGGGAAAGCTCACCAACAACACAAGCAGAAACAACCCAGAAAACGCACAGGAACCCCTTTGGTTGTGCATCGGCCTCCGTATTTGCAAAACAAAACTGAACAGCTGAACGGAGCTTTACTGCATGAATCCCAAATATCAGAGTAAATCGTCCCTCTTCAATGTTCTGAAACCAAGGGCTCCCAAGCAAGGAAGCTTCACGGGTGTCGCAGTCCAAAAACTTTGTACATGGTAGCCTCAAAGACCCCGTGACAAGTATGTCAGTTTGGCCTCTTGAAACAGAAACGCAAAGGGAGCCAATACGAACAGCCCAAACTTGTGGTGTGTTTCGTGCAAGGTTTGGATATGGTTTGGATCACCCCTGTTTGCAAGTTCCATGCTTGCCCTGGGCCTGTCTTGTTTCAGGGGACCCACTATGGCGGTATCCTTCTGTTCCTTTCAAACCACAAAAAGGGGCAAAAGAAGACACTCCCAAGGACTCCCAAGCATACTGTGCAGGCACAGAACCCGGCCGTGGCGTGACAGTTGGCGCCTCTTCTCTCGTGCTTCAAGGTAGACACGAACTCATCCTGACCATGCCGAGCGCCGAGCGGTGAAATTCTGTGCGGCTCCCCTCACAAAAGACACTGTTTCTTCCATTTGCTTCAGTCGCCTGGAAAAAATGAGATATTTCCCGTGGGGGGGAGTATCATGTTCTTAAACCAAAGTTCGAAGTGATCCTCCCAGATCCTGGGAAACATGTGTGGCTGCACCCTTTTGCCACTTGTCCCTCTGATTTTGCTGGTCAAAGGATTGCGAATCGACCCTCAGGCTAACCAGAAGTAAGGAGGGCTTCAAGGAGGATAATGTCCAACAGGTTTGCACGGAGGGCGGTACCCTCACATTTCTATTGGAAAGAAAGGATTGCCACCAATGCTTTTGTTGGTAGTCGAATTTAAAGGGACCCCCAACAAAAAGTAAAAAGGTGGCCACTGAAGGTCGGGATGCTTTGAACCCTCTGCGGACTGGGAGGACAGGGTGTTGCCATATAGACATAATGCTCTTGGCTTCCACTACTTCAGCGAGCGACCCTTGGTGCTTTTCTCGAATGAGAGAGGTGACTATAAGTTCAATTTAAATGCCGCCAACAACATGAAGGATGGTCAAGACTGGGATACTCTTTTCGAACCCTGCTGTGTCCCACAACACTGTCCTACCCTCCCTCCCTCACACAAATGGTATATCGCCTCCACACCTCCAACACGCACCTCCACTCTCCACCTCAGCCAGCGCCCAAACCCATTGAGGTTTGGTTCTACCTGCGCAAGGTGTACATGGGCATCACTATAAACCCATGTTTCCAGGTACCCGGGGTATTAAACCTCATGCTCACCGGACCTGGACATGTCCCTCCCCCTAAAACGAAATTGTGACTCTCCTCTTGGTTGTCCTTTAAAACCAAGGCACATCTTCCTCTTGGTTCTCCTTCAAAACAAGGCACCCGCAACAAAACAAATGACATGGCCACCTGAAACTGGGTCCCCAGGAGCGTCCAGCGACGCGCCGGTGCAAGCGGTCCTCGAAGTAGCCGCCGTAGATGCTCTGGCCACCCTTGCCGGTGCCCGTAGGGTCGCCACCCTGAGGGCCCACGGGCTTGCGCTTTCGGCGTTGTCCCAGACACCCAGCGGATTTCCGTTGGTCATCAATGGGAATGGCACCAAGTCGTGTTTTTGGGGTAGTTGACTTTGAAGGGGGTCCATTCCTCCAAGCAAAAATGAGCATAGGAATGAACCCACTGGAGGTGTGGGAAATAGCCATGCTAAGGCTGCTTCAGAAGTTGGTTGCAGCAGGGGCAAGCTTGTTTTTACTCCCCTGCTTCGTAAACATGGGACACATCAACAAAAAGGGCCGGGGGCGGGTGGGGGGCGGCAAGAAGATTCCAGGCAATGAGGCACGCAGCGCCTCATCCAAAACATGCGCTCGGCGTGATCTGCGGGCTTGGCTCCGCATCGGTGTGGCAGCAAAGGGTGTCGGAAGCAAAGGGTGCCATCCTCTCCGCTGTTGCGGGTCCGTCATTTTCTGCCTGGAACCGCATATTTGAGTTTGAAGGGAAACCAAACGGAAACCCGTTGCGCGATTTTTAGGGGTCCAAATCCCGAATTGTGGGTCGGTGTGGGGATACCCATTTTGGGGGGGCGGGCGCCCGGTTTTGAGACACTGAGGTTGACGAGCATCTTTCCAGTTAGCCTGGTGTCAAGCCTCCGGCGCAAGAGAAGTCCATGTCAATCAGCAGATGTTTTTATGCCCAACTCAACCCGCTGACCCCTCCAGTTCACCTTTCTGGTGGGTATGGAAAATTCGCCGTGTTTCAACCAACAAGCTAAAGTGCAAAGATGCAAAAACAAAAGTACGCTATAGAAAAGGATATAGGGTTGCTAACCCCAGTTCTCCCATAGCCATGGTTATGTCCTACTTGGACTGAACATCGAAGCAACTAGTCCAGGTTTGCTCCCTTCCTTGAGGTTCTGCCGGATCTTCTGTTCTGTGTTTGGCGTTGTGCTGCTTTTTCTCTGGAATGTGATCGCCGTGAGATGGATGTTGCTTGCGGAGTCCCATTCGAGAAAGCCCTGTTCGGGGTTGGTCCTTTCTGGGAAGCCAAAAGACAACCGTTGCGCCATTTTGTGGGGTCCAACTTACTTTGCCACAAGCCCACGTCCCATGGGTGAGGTCGCCAACCATGCCCACCCCCTGTCAGGCTGCCGCAAATCGCCCAACACAAAAGGCGCCAGCCATGACCATTTGCCCCGGAAGCCAGCAAGAAAAAAAGGAAACGCCCTAACACTGGGCAAAAGGCATCTATACCCAACCTCCAGCCTTTGACATGTAGGTATCAACCGCAAATCCAAGTCTCCAGTTGCTGGCGGCCTCACCAAACGTCTTCCCCAATCCACGCGACTTATCCCGCAAAAGGTGTTTCAAGCGAGCCACGGCCAAGCACCCGCCCCCCAGCCGCATGGATGGATCCGCCTGGATCATGAAGCCCTTGATGTTTCTGTGAAAGTTGGTGTTGTCATAGTATCCTCAGGCAACTCAGGAACTGGTCTCCGAAAGATCCCCCTGATTGTGGAGTGACTCTGGCAAGCCCCGGGAAATCCCGGGAATTATGGAAACTGGCTGGAACTGGACCCGGTCCCATGAAACGAAGACCTCGGGGCAGGGATATAGTGAGTTGAGCTTTTCTGCCAGAATTCTACAACTTGAAGGTGGAACCTGCAACTGGGATACCGTATCGAACCAATTCTGATCTCTCGGCCAACCAGCAAGAATCCTACATACAAATAATATCTATATATAGGTAAACAACTGATCGAGGCCACGAACCCAAACGCAGACATATACAACCCCCAAGCAGAATTTTCAAAGACACCGAGCCCCACAATAGAACCAGGAGAAATGCAACGGCGCAACCCGACGGCTTGACCCAACGGCAAGCGATAGCTTCGCTTGACGCGAATTGAAAAAACGCAAGGTCCAAACGGATCGAGCGGTCCTGAGGCCGCGAGGGCCAAGAAGTTCTTGCAGGTCTTCGGAGTCTGGGCGCAGAAGAGCTCCACCTGTGTCCCACCGAACTAATCGCTGGGACATATCCTTCCTTCCTCGCCGGTCACCGGCTGGATCCATCATCTATCATCCAAAATATGATTATTTTGTGATAGATTAGGTGGGAAAGGACTGAAAGAAGGTAAGGGAAGTCATTAGAACAAAGGGAATTAGAGAGGCCTATTAAGTTGTTAGACTCACCCAGTAATAATTCATTCTAGAGAAGCTATACCTAATAGATCTTGAAGTAAATAATTAGTCACCAAACTTTTTTTTTGGGGGGGGGCAAGGAGGGAAGCGTAGGGAAACCCCAGAATTTGGCCAGTCACCAATAAACCAGGGGTTCATAATATGCTTGGAATCTTTGCTTAATGAGTCTTGACTTTTCCCATGAAGTGCTGCTGTTGATTCACTGTTCAGTCCGCCGGAGCTCCACCTCACGGTACAGGACTCGTTAACCCACAAGCCACAAGTAGGTGGTTTCAGCGCACCACCATTCAGAAGCCCCGGTTTCTGATGATTCAACAAGCGTTGTGGCTTCAACCATGGTCTTGGGTGGTGCAGGATTTCGTCCACCCATAGTATTTCTGATTGGTTGAAAGTCCACTTCCAAGATCGCTGCAATGTTGGGCTTGACAGCGGACCTACTTTTCATGATAACCTGTATGGACTGCGATTGTCCTTGGACATTGTTCAACTGGACTCCCCTGGATATGTCTGCCCAAAACCCCCCTTGTTTCCCAATGCAGCCATACGCCTCGCCCAAACCATGATAATTCACAAACTGAAAATGCGGAATCCCTCCAGGTGAATGAAGAGGCGGGTTTGGAGGTGCTCCAGGTCGGCTTCCCCCATTTACCCACGTGAACCAGGGGTTAAAGTCCCAATCTCAATCACCAAGTAAGAGACACCTGATCCAAGAAACCGTCATGGGTTTTCAGTCACATTTCGCTCGTGAGCTCCAGACTTCTTGCCCTGGAACCCCGAGGCCTTTTTGCCTAGCTCTAAGAACTTGGCCCTTTGAGGAACACTCAAGACAGACAAGACACATATTTGCTCAGATTCTTCTTACTTCAGTGTATGTAGTCTACCCTCGAAATATATACCTTGTCTCCCACTAACATGGCACCTGACAAGGTGTCCCTCCAAGAGGAAACTGATCTTCCAGGTACCCTCCCACAAAGGGTAACCATTTTGGAGGCCTCAGTAAAGAAGAGGCTCTTAGGAAGGAGTCAAGGAGACTGTCCCATGAAATTGCCAACGCTGAGGGCAAAATTGACCATTGCCTTTACCCACATACAGGACACTGTGCCAATTGTGACCCTGGAGACATGTGACAAACACACTCTCTTTTTGGCTTCCCTTACACGGCCCATGGTCCTTTTACAAAGGCTTGCTCTTCAGGAGTAAAAGGTCTCACCTTTGTAGGTAATTATGGAAAAGTCATTTACCAAAAGAAGGGGCGCTTCGGTCACACCAAACTTGGTTGTTGGCGAGACCCCTCTGCACAAAGTTCAACTTTTGTGGGTGCAATCGAAAATCCGCTGTTTCCCGAAAAGTTGAAGTCCAAACATCCAGCCACATAGCATTAAAGCAAAAGCCCGCCTTGTTCACAGCGCAACTTGCAACCCGTCCAGTATATATATCGGACAGCCTTGAGCGGGCCCAGGTTGGTCTTGATGGTCAGCGACATACCTGCGACGCAAAAACACATGAAAACTCCCCAGGCCTCTTTTTCAGCTGGTTGATCTTGAGGGGAAAGCCCGATCAAAAGCAAGTTGAATAACCAGCGTGGATTTGCATCTGGGAAAAAAGGGGCCTTGTTTGCTGGTTGGTTTCGAAGGTTACCCCTCCGATGTTGAAAACGGGGAATGCCCCAGTGGAAGTTTGGGCGCTAGTAATCCAGGATATGGTCTTGGATGTGGCGAATCTGTGGGCTTACCGTCTAGGATAGAGGCTGTCAGAAGAGTACTAGAAAAGCGGACACTAACACCGTTCAAACAAGCACCAGCAGGGGGGACTTCAGCAGAAAACCATAAACAACACATCCAAACCGTTTTCTTGCAAGTAAAGCTTTCTTTGGGAATGGGCCTCAAACCGGAAACTGCACTCCCTGTAGGATCCTGGCTTGGAGGGAACCAAAGGGACACCGACAATGCTTGTCTTTCGGTGGGGACCATGCGAAATGACCTTTCTGGAGTGCCTGATGATATAGGGGTTGATCAAAAAGGTCCTCTACATGGGATGACTATTGAAGAAACCCGCTAAACAAATGCTATTTCTCACAAGGGAAAAGTTATCCATGGTCATTTGGGGGCCTTTCACGGAAAAATTGATCAACCCCCGATAATCTGAAGAAGCACTTGCAGACTATGCCAGGAATTGCGACCTTGGATTCATCGTCCACAAGGGTGGCTCATGTTTTGTTCGAGTTGGTACCCTTCTTTGTGAGTTTTGAAAGGGGCACCAAAAGGAAAACCACAATTTGAGTTTGGGAAACTGTTTACTGGGAAAAGACTGCCAAGTTATGTCAGAACCGCCAAGCGATCCGCGACCGGGCCTTCCAAAACTCGGGGCCGCTTCGGCACAAAGCGCCGAGCCCGAGCACTCAAAGGCGGACAGAGGTCAGAGGCGTTCAAGTTAGGCTTCTCAGGTACGCCAAAACTGAGAATCTGGGTGTGGGTCTTTCTTGAGTGTACACCCTTTTCGTGGTTGTAAGGGAACCCACAAGGAACACCAGCGATTTTGGGGGGTCCGATGTCTATAAAAGATGTACCCATATCTTCAAGTGAACTTCATATCTTGCCTACCTTGCAATATCACTCAATTTTGGAGGAGACCAACATGACAGGATCCGTCCTCTTGTGCTTGCCGAAACCTTGGGTGCCTTCGTCTTTCGAACCACACCTCAGTCGATTGGAGTTCATCAACTGGGGAAGTCCGCACCAATTCGGGGCACATAAACTGCACGCCCAAGGGCAGGGGCCAAGTGCTGCTGGGCTCGAGTTGTTTGAGGCGAAGGGTACCCTTTTTGGGGTTGGCTTGAAGGGACACCAAAAGTAAGACCACTAAACGATGGATGCCCTAGTGCAAGTGATTGGAACAAGGACGCTCCTGATTTACCCGAATTCACCACGGCCTTGTGGTTCCCTGTGGTTGGTATACCCACCGCAGCAAGACATGTCGAATTTCTGGGTGCCTCGAATAGGCGACCCCCCAAATGTTGCTGTCTCATTTGGCTTCTCTTTTACGCGTACCTGAGACCACCCAAAAAAGGGTAGGCTTGGAGAATCGAGAGAACAAACCCACCGTTTTCAGGGTCACCCATTTTTTTGAAACATGCTCATTCATGTACCTGAGAAGCCCCATTGGTGCAACTCACGAGCAGCTCTGCACTTCCATGGGAGTTGCTAATGAAGGCCTTTCAAAAAGTGAGTGGAATCGAGTCAAACACAGGAGCCAACACTGCCTAAGCAGCTTTTCCATGTTTGGAGTCGGTGAGAATCATGGATTTCTGTGGGCCGACCAAATGTCTACTGCAACAACCATAGTCGTTCACGGATCAGGAAACGGTGCAGTCTTTGAATGGTGGTGAGCATGAAAAGTTGGACCTGACAGTGTCGCCACCATTTTCACGTCTACGGGAGTCATGCTCTTAAATCTAGCCTTTCATGGTGGTCAACCTACCGTTGTGAATTGTTTTGTCCATTCCTCATGTAAAATTGGGTGTATGTCAAAGTACGGTCTCCCCCTCCCACCCCCGACCCTAGAAGATGCGTGTTTCACCTGTTGGTTTCCCAAACCAACCTGAAAACAGGACCCTCGAAAACACAATCCTCTTTTACGGTCAGCCGTCCACTATTGATTTCTCCCGCGCTGCTCTCTTCGGTGACCTGAGGTGCGGCGATGCGAACCCGGATCCGGTTGGGGGAGTGGTGCAGACATATATATATATATTGATACATACATGCGTATATGTATAAATACATATGCATGGTACTATAAATATGTAGATATATATATATACGTATATTAATATATATAAATACAATTATGGGCTCACTTGAGTGAAATGGTCCAAGGTGTTGGCTCTCAGTGTAAAGTCCATGAAGCGAGTGAGTGAGGCTCAGCTTGTCTTTCCGTCCAATAAACCCTGAGGCGTCGAGTGAGTGAGTTGGGTTTCAAATTGGAATCCCTCAATGCCGGTCGAAATCTCTGTGAGTTCAGCATCAGCAAGGTCGGACTCGAATCCGCCCGTTGACTCTGGGGTCCAGTGAAATGGCCACAACCCTGATGCGTACCAAAGGGTGGGAAATCAAATTGGGGATATGGGGGAAGCGGGTATGCCCGATTCCTCTAAAGCTCTAAAACCACTTCTAAATATGTCCGGAAAAAATGCGCACATCATCCCTGCTTCCGCCGCATCCTTGCTTGTTTGTGTGAAGGGGATTCCCATCCTCAGGAATACAGTGCCAGTTTTGAGGGAGTTTCCTTCGACACCTGTCTCAAACCACGACAAGGGAATTGTGTTTCGGAGAGTACTCTGTTTGGGACGAGTTCAAGGAAAGCCCAAAGCAAACCTACCATATTTGGGGAGCTATACAGAGACATACCCAAATAAAGAAAAAAAACATAATGGCAAACTCGCCGAACCCCGAATTCCATAATCTCAAGTAAGGGACCTTCATGGTGACTTTCTTTTACCCCAGGTAAGCCTTCATCAAATAGGGGTTTCTGGACCAACGGGCTGTTCAAAATGGAGTGCCGAGCAATCTGATTTTCCATAATCGCGATCCCAAGCGGTTTCCGTATGCTTGCACAAGTCCTTGGGTAAGGATCTTGCGGATTGCCTTTGAAGAGCAGCCCAGTTTTAAGCCAACCTGGACTCTGAAATAGCCCAAGCAACTCTGTTTACACCCGCTTTGGTTCCTGGATTTCCGCCCCCCAAGCCCCATCCTCGCGGATGAGGTCGCGGGCTTCTTTGGCCCACTCACGACACCTGACAAGGGCTTATCTCCAAACAGAACCCCCAAAATCACTGGTCAGTCATTGCTTTCAATTCGCACCGGGAAGTGTGCCATCTACATTCACCTGTAAGACCACCCCGCTTGCGTCAACATGGGGTTGCACTCCCCAAAACCCTTGTTTTGCCTTTTGGTTTGTTCTACTCGTTAAACCACCCAAAGGTACCCTCAGACCCTCAACCAGAACCTTCAGGAAATCCACCGTAGGATGGAACCCTTCAGCTTTTGCCCAGGGCCCGAGTGGATGGCCACAGGAGAAGTGAGTAAGATCTTCGACTTGGCGCATTCATAGTTTCTACTAAATTAACCAATTAAGTTACTCTCGTTTCAATAGCAATTGCTTAGCAATTCCCAATCATTACATAATTTATTCCAAATGCTTAACAATTTCATCATATTCAATATAACAAAATAGTGCTATCCATTCTTCGAAAACATATGTGAACCTCCACATATTCGATCATTTCAGGAAATATCCCTTGAATTGGTGGTTTGGGGGCTTGAACCTCTGTTTGTCGTACAACTGGCAAGGTGCTGCTTTTAGACAGATTGCAAAAGGATTCCAAAACAGTGGTACCGAAATGGGCAATTCCTGTGAATCACAAAGAGCAACCTAAAGCTCAATTTCCAACCACGGAGGATTCTTTCCGGCAGTTTGCAGAGCTACTTGATGTCCCCGTGGGTGGCTTTTTTTGGCTGTGTGGCGGTTTTAAGGGTGTGCTTGCGTGGGGTTTGGTCTTTTGCTTCCCTTTTTAATGTGTTGCTGGGGTAAGGATACTGTACAGAGTTGTATGGGCGGTGTTGTAAGTTGCCCACGGTTTTCGTCTCGCATGAGGCCCTTTGTAAATGGCTTGGTACCTCGTGGGGGTTGCTCTCAAATGCTTGACCGTAGACCCAGGATTTGGAAGGGCTCAGCCTCAAACCCAACTAGCCTACCCTGGGCCTTTTCGATGTTGGGGTTATACGAGTCGCAATCAACCGAGGAATCTACCATTATGTAAATCATCAGGGCGGCAACGTGGGCCCAGTTATGGCTGGGACTGTCCTTGCCTTCATTTGCCCGGGTTTTGGGTTTTGGGAGCGTGGCTCATGTTGACTCTGGCTTAGTAAGCCAACAGTGCCTATAAACAGGTTCAGCAAGGGTCCATACTTTTCACCCCCCCCATGCTTTCCTTTTAAACTGGCCCCAGTATTCTACCAGCATCCCCCAAGCGCCCATTTTCCCCAGAAATGCTCAAGAAAATCACCCCAGCTCAACCAACCCCCGAAAAACCACGAGGGTTCCCCGTCAAACGCCCAGCGACCCGAAAACCACCACGAAACGGAACCTCTCCTCGTCTCGGTCTGGACGCCCAGGCGCTGCAGCGCCAGCCTGGAGTACCTCAGAGCCGAAAGAACGAACAGCCGAAGCCGGTGCCCTGGGGTTCAGCTACCACCATCAAATCAAAGGGGGTGAATAGAACCACTATCATTTACCTAAGCAACTTCATCATCCAAATTGGGAAAGCCTGATCATGGGGTTGAACCCTAGGGTGTATGCCACCAAGATGGTCTTCCCAAGAATGAAGCCCAGCAACTTGGGCCTGGGAAGTGAGCTACTTAGATGATCAATCTCAAGCCTAGGGTTTCTTGGTCCCGAAAACCCTCCCATGTCTTACAGCAGCAGGAAAAGAGGGCCACAGGGCAGGCAGGCCATTTGAACTAAAGGGGGCGGCCCCCGAAATACACTGACTCACTTCCTGAGTGGATGGCCCAAACGAAGTCCAGTCCAAACTTTTGCATGGCACAAAATTATCTTCCCAAAAAGTATGAATTTGCATGAACTCAGGAACTGAGCTGATCCTAGTTTCGGGCTGCTGGGTAAACTCCACGGCGCCATGCGAGGCCTGACTGCCTGTCATAGTGGAAGTGCAGGAGATCATACTCGAAGCCGTAGTCGAGCACGGGGCTCTGAGCTTTCTGCATGAAGCCTGGAAGAGTACGAGTCAGCATCTCGAGAACGCATTCTCCATAACTGAAGGCCTCAGTCGCTTCCTGCACACCACTCGCTCCAAGTACAGCTGCAGTAGGGTGCGCGCTGGAAGGTGGAGGGGACCAAAAGAAGGGGACTAAAAGAAGAGGCCCCGTTTTTCACCCAGCTTGTTCGAAGACTGGAGAACTGAACGGTCCAAAGGACAAGAACGTCTTCTTGAGCAAGTGAGGCTTCCCACAAAGGGGGCCGTGTTTGCCATGTCCATCCACCACACTGTCCTTGCTTGTTGACATGTTTGGGCAAGAGGTGCCCGCACCACTAGTTCGGAGGAGCAAATGATGTTCCCACGGGTGGCACAAATTGCATGCACGAGGCATGCAAGTCGAACAAACAACATGGCCATAATCAGCACCAATTGGTGGTTTGGTTTGGGTTTGGAGGTGTTCTGGGGCTGTTTCTGTTTCCCATTTATCCACAAGAATCAGGGATTCCACCAATCCAAACCACCCCTTCAGCAATTGGTATGGAGTTTGGAGGAATGGATGCTTAAGGTTGCCAGAAGGTAGGCAACTAGCTTTGGACACCTGATCAGGGTTGCGGGAAACGACCACTTCTGCGATACAACAACAAGGGCTTTCCAAACACTAATCCCATATAAAGGGGGAGATTCCCTTGTATCACAGAAGTGGGAATAAACCCCTTGATCCCACAACCCTGCACCTGACTGACATACCAAGAGAAATACATGCAAGGCAGTATATACCATATGGTGTGACGTTTTTGAAGAAACCCCACCTTTTGGTTGGTTTTCAAAGGAAACATTTCTGGGAAGCCCATCAGTTTGGTTGGGTCCGATTCCTATTTGAAGACACACCCAGCTCCATTTGCCTTTTCGATGGACAAAATGAGAACAACTTTCTGGTAAAATCGATTTCCTTTAAAAGCAAGAAGGGAACATGAAACATCTCGGCCGTTGAGTTCCCTGCCACTGCCCGAGGTACGGAATCCTGAGGCCGCCCCCCGACACATCCTCTTTGGACACGTCCATTTGGGGCTCGTCTTTTTTTGAGGGCACCTTTTTCTGTTGGTGGTGTTGAAGGAAAAGCACCAGTTTGGGGGACTCTCGCAACCTATCAGCCACCACATTTGTTTTGTGAAGGGGTGTTTTCTTGAGGTGAGTTAGAGGCTAGGCATTTGTCCTTGTCTTGCCCTGTTCATTCATTTGTTCTGGACGTCAGATTCAAGATCATGTCTCCTTCCTCGTGCAAACAAACAACTGCTCCGGGCTGACGGACCCCATCTATGCAGGCCTCAATGTTCACTCATTGCTGAGGAGGTTGATAGGTCTGGGTCAATCCAGTGACCTTCTCGAGTTTCCCCCTTCAATGGTGATTTTAAGGGCTTTGACTTCCAGTCATTTTGAGGACCCCTCAAAATGTTAACTTCAATCGGCCCCGATTTATCTTGCTAATCGTCCGCTACGGCACGCACAGACATATCTGTTTCTGTTTTAGGGGACCCCCAAAATGGTGGTTTCCTCTGGGCTTCTCCCCAGAAAGAAGCGGGCACCCTCAACAAAGACACACCCATACTATTGATATGAGCTGGCAGTACTGCCACAATAAACTGATAGCTAGTAACCTGCAAAACTGATGGCCCATCCAACATTGCACTATCCATGTCTCGTATACCTCCCACCAATTGGCATGGAACCTGAAAGGGGGGTCCTGGCTTGCACGATTTTCCTGTTAACAGGAGCCCCTGTCAGGTTCCATGTTGATTGGCGGGAGGGTACTCATTACAGTCACTTTAGACCATGGACCTATTGATATGGATTCCCTTTTTGGGAGGGGCTAACCCAACTAGTTGGATTCCATTTTAACCAAAACAGGACTGGGCCCCCACGTGAGCATTGTGGATTGCTGGGCTGCTGTTCCCACATTCCCTGCTAAAAGTCAAAACATGTTTAGTGGATTTAGTCTTTCGTGGAAACTACCGCTAAGCCTACTAAAACGATCCAAAACCTAAGGAACCAGATGGCTAGGAATCACCAAAATGGGTTCCCCAATACTTGATTTCTGTGGTACGGGCTGGAAGCGCGTGGGCACAGTACTACGCGCTTTTTTTGCAAGAACCCGTTCTGTCTCCAAATTCTGCAAGAACCAGGATTCTCGGTTTGAACCCGGCAAAATGTAGGTGTTTCGCTTAGAAGCTAGGGGAAGGTGGAGGATGTCCAACGGAGAGGTCAAATTCATATGATGTCAAAATAGGCCCCCGAAATCACAGGTCAATTCCCCTAAAACACATAAACCAACTGCCCGGAATATATATATATATATACATATTATATATATATATATACATATATTGCAAACACGCAAACCAATCTTCATCTATCTCAAATGCAGCTATATATGAACGGGCCATGTCTCAATCATCATCTATGTGAGGGTACGGGCTTTTCTTAACATAGGATTGGAACCCGACAAACACCAACATGTGCTGTGCACATGTTGAGATTGCCTAGACTCTTAGATCCCTCTCAACTAACTTTTCCACTGGGCCTCCAAAAGGTATGGAAACAACATCTGGCGGTCTTCTTGGTTTCCGGCTGTCGCTTCTGCACGAAGTCTTGCAGCTCTTGCAGGGCGACCTGGCGAAGCCACATGCCATCCGTGCCAAACCGATTGGTCACAGTCCACTGCGCCAAGCATCTGGGTGTGTCCCCCCCCTCCACAAACAAAGCGAACCGAATTGACGTCGCTATCAATCGGTTGCATGTCGCAATTGGAAGCTTGGCTTCTCGTTCCGCGCTTTCGCTGCTTCAGAGCCCCAAAGCAAGCTATGACGCCATGGTGTGTCCTTTTTGAGGCTCGGTACCCTTGGGGTTGGTTTAGGAAATCAAAAGCAAGCCACGTGATTGGAGGGTTCCAACCTCTTGAACAAGCCCATGTAGCTTCTCTGCTGGTGGGGGTTATGCGCCGGGCATACACAATTACTTGTGGTTCCCCAAAGGGACATGGACCATTCGGGTACTCTCCTGCAAAACAGGAAAAGGGAGTTTCGTGCAAAAAGGATGTGGTTGGGGGGCTCCACCCCAAAGCAGCAGCCCCCAAGCATTTTGCCAGCTTGTATCTCATGACCGGGCCAGACTTACTTCCCCTGCAACAAGTTGACTTGCTGGTCAAAAAGGGAACATGAACCTCAATTTGTGCTTGTTCGCCCCCTGAAAAAAAAGTTTTCAGTGATAGATTCCCTTTCAAACAACAGGTTTTTTTTAAACACTGCTCTGAACGCAAATGGGCATGTGTGGACCCCAAGAGGGGCAACAAAAACAATCAGCCTAAGGTAGTTAAGTCTGGCAATGCAAAGCAAAATGACCCGCCCTTTGCCACGGGACCCGGTGCACATCCTTACTCGTTTCTTCTTCTGCGTGCCTCGTGCGCCGGCAAACCGCCGACTTCTCCTGGGGAGACGCCGCCTTTGGTCACTTGGTCACTTTCCACCACAGAACTGCTACCCCAAATACACCTCCAGTGGCCATGTCAATTCTCCCCTTGGGATGTGCTTGCGGGGTCCCCAAAAACAGGGGCCTGATTGAAGTTTTCCTGGTTGTGGTGCTTTCCTCAAGGGTAGCATTTTGAAGGTTTCAGTTGTTGGTCAAACTGCGCCAACTGTTAGCTGCTAGAATTCCATCTAAGTAAGCAACCTTCATTTCGGGTGAGCTCATTCCTAGCTACCAAGGAGATTTCGGCTGAACCGGTTGAGGTGTTCATCTACGTTGGATTTCAACACCGCCAGAGCTGCAATGCCCGTGGCCAAAGGGTTGTGAAGACAGGCAGTAAACAACATCGCCGAACCAACCATAAGACACACACCCAAATAAGACCAAACAAATTGCACAAAGTGGATGTGGGCGTCTGGACCCGAATGCAAAAAAAACACAAATGGAAGCCAATCACGAAAAAGCTGTGTTATGAGTGCGAGTCAACGTAAATGCATTGGTGCGCCGCAATGCGGATGAGTTCCGAGAAGGACAGCCCATCCACTGGACGAACGGCTCTACACACGCCAGACAACCACAAGTGACACTGGCTTGTGCAGTCCGTTCAACCCGTCTGGTGCGCTTAATGAACATGAACTCCATGTGTGGTTGATCATGCTTTTACAGCGCACTGTTCCATGCAGGCCTCGCCAGCTTTAACCGCAAGCATGCGAGCCACTCCTCAAGCAATCGATTTTAACAATCATCGGCTCGACAGGCACATTGCCAACCAGGATCGTGTCAGTGGCAAAAGTGCGTTTGCACCACAAACAGACAGAGGGACAGACCGACAGACAGACAGAAAAAGAGACAAACAAACCAAGAACCAAACACACAAACAAACAAACAAACAAACAAACAAACAAGCAAACAAACAAGCAAGCAAACAAGCAAACAAACAACACAAAACAAACAAAGACACAAACACAGACACACACACACACACACCTCATGTGAAGCTTTTGCGCTTTGCGAATTGTGTCTATAGATCTGTACCTGGACACAGATGGAAGCCAATCATCAAAGCTCGTTGCTTCCTAGTGCAAGTCCACGTCAATGCTTTGGTGCGTCTTGATGCGGATGGAATCCGAGAAGGACAAACCATTCGATTTTACTACGCACTGCTGTGGAGGGTCCTAACCTGCCCCAGCCGACTTGCAAACATGCCACTGGACGAACGGTTCTACACACGCCAGGCAACCACAAGTGACACTGGCTTGTGCAGTCCGTTCAAACCGTCTGGTGCGCTTAATGAACATGAACTCCAAGTGTGGCTGATCATGCTTTTACAGCGCACTGTTCCATGCAGGCCTCGCCAGCTTTAACCGCAGGCATGCGAGCCACTCCTCAAGCAACATATTTTAACAACGACGGCTCGACAGGCACAATGCAAACCAGGTTCAAGACTCAGTGGCAACACGTGCATGTTCACCCACAAACAAAAAAAACAAACAAATAAACACACACACACATGCACACACCGCATGTGCAGCTTTTGCACTTAGCGCATGGAAATGTCTCTATAGATCTGTACGTGAACAAAGCCGGAAGCCAATCATTAAAGCAAATTGCTTCCGAGTGCGAGTCCACGTCAATGCTTTGGTGCGTCTTAATGCGGATGGATTCCGGGCAGACAAACCATCCGATTTTACTACGCACTGCTGTGGAGGGTCCTAACCTGCCCCAGCCGACTTGCAAACATGCCACTGGACGAACGGCTCTACACACGCCAGGCAACCACAAGTGACACTGGCTTGTGCAGTCCGTTCAAACCGTCTGGTGCGCTTAATGAACATGAACTCCAAGTGTGGCTGATCATGCTTTTACAGCGCACTGTTCCATGCAGCCCTCGCCAGCTTCAACCGCAAGCATGCGAGCCACTCCTCAAGAAACATATTTTAACAACGTCGGCTCGACAGGCACATTGCAAACCAGGTTCAAGACTCAGTGGCAACACGTGCCTGTTCACCCACAAACAAAAATAAACAAACAAATAAACACACACACACACACGCACACACCTCATGTGCAGCTTTTGCACTTAGCGCATGGAAATGTCTCTATAGATCTGTACGTGAACAAAGCCGGAAGCAAATCATTAAAGCAAATTGCTTCCGAGTGCGAGTCCACGTCAATGCTTTGGTGCGTCTTAATGCGGATGGATTCCGGGCAGACAAACCATCCGATTTTACTACGCACTGCTGTTGAGGGCCTAGACTGACCCAGTCGACTGGACGAACGGCTCTACACACACCAGACAACCACAAGTGACACTGGCTTGTGCAGTCCGTTCAAACCGTCTGGTGCGCTTAATGAACATGAACTCCAAGTGTGGCTGATCATGCTTTTACAGATGCAGGCCTCGCCAGCTTTAACCGCAAGCATGCGAGCCACTCCTCAAGAAACATATTTTAACAACGACGGCTCGACAGGCACATTGCAAACCAGGTTCAAGACTCAGTGGCAACACGTGCCTGTTCACCCACAAACAAAAATAAACAAACAAATAAACACACACACACACACGCACACACACACACGCACACACCTCATGTGCAGCTTTTGCACTTAGCGCATGGAAATGTCTCTATAGATCTGTACGTGAACAAAGCCGGAAGCCAATCATTAAAGCAAATTGCTTCCGAGTGCGAGTCCACGTCAATGCTTTGGTGCGTCTTAATGCGGATGGATTCCGGGTAGGACAAACCATCCGATTTTACTACGCACTGCGGCAATCTTAATTTTTCCTTTGAATCACATGTCAAGGCCGGTAAGGCAGACTTGCACACAATCCAAGTCTGCTCTGCCGAAGACCAGGTGGGCGAAGGTCAGAGTAAGCAACACTGGCTGGTGAGGGTTCTGGGAAAATCATTTACAGTCTGCTGAGCACAGCTTCAACATTCATACTTGCTTGGCGTGTGGAAGCAGTGGCAACATGGCGTCGCCAGGTGCAGGTGCAAGTTAGCACGTCGATCATCTTGATTTCTTGTTGGTTCCATGTTACATGTAGTTTCTCTGCAAGAGGCATTCGATTCAATGATTGGACAAGCATACAACTTGGATACACACCTGCAAGATAACATGGAGAATGTGGCTGTCACATTTTCTGAAGCTTCTCCAGCTGCGATCATAATACACTTTGCCGATGAACGTGTTCTCTTTGAGAAGTCCTGTGGGCTCCTAAGAGCAGATTGGCGAGCTTTACCGCTATTTGCTTAAGTCCTCTGAAACAATAATATATATATATATATATATATTATCTATATACATATATAATTATATGTATCCAGATTCTCCTTTAAAACGACAGGGGAAATAAACAATATCATTAAGCAATTGGAAGCTTACACACGGGTCTGGTTGGAACATTGAAAAGGTCAGCACATTGTGGAGGGTTAAACGAAGGGTCTGAAAACAAATGCCTTTGTATACCATCCCCTTTGGCTTTCCTTTCGGTTGAAAATGCCGAAACGTGGATGGGCAAACTTCTGCATCAGCTGATAGGTGGTTTACCAAGCATTGTTCTCAGGGTTCCATCTTGGTGCAAAAAGTTATGTGCATCCACAGCATGGGCCCCGTTTTGCGTCCAAGTTTCGCACACATCGGCTTGACTGAAATTGGGTCTTGGTGCCCCCTAGTTCCTTAGTGGCTTTGACATTGAAGTCCAGGAGTGGTCAATGAAAACTGGGCCCAGTTGCTTGCAGCCACCGATTTCGGAACTGCACCCCATGCGAATTTTGGTGCCAAGCACATGGCATGGCTGCTTATGTGTGCCATGGTTTTCCAGCCCATTATGTGGCCATGATCATGGCTATCCGAAATTAATGTCTTGCCATATTATCCAAATTTCATCAGGAACCTCCAAGTCAAGGGGTGGTTTGACTGCATGGCACATAGGGTGTCTCAAAATTTGGCCCCCGGAATGGGTTTTCGCTTCCTGTGCGTTTCCTGAAATTTTGCCCAAGAAGGGTACTCAGAAATGGAATGAATACCCGCCCTATAGGCCATGTCAAACTGAGATGCAAGACACCTCCATGTGAAACGTTCAATGGCAGAAGGACACTCAGATGGTGTGGGAAGTTGCCTTGTGTCTACAGTAACCACCACGCCGAGTTGCAAATACCAAACCGTTGCGAGCATGGCCAAGCTAGCCGTGCTAACGCCAGTGATTGAAAGGCCTCCAAGCCCCTCTTAGCTCCATAACCATCTTTGTCTCTCTAAATGAGGGACCCGCCCCCCAAAACACGTTGCTCCCTTTTCAATTTCTGGTTAACTCAACCAACCACCGCTACCTTGCCAAACAAAGCAAACAAACAAACAAACATCCATCCAGCCATCCCTGCCCTCTCTCACGCCAGAGGTGAGCCACTCCTATCGCAGCTTTGCTGGAGATCATGGCGTGGCAGTCTTTGGCCAGGCAAATCTGACCCCTACAAGTTTTTCCAGCGGGATGTCTGCCCAGAAAGGCTCCTTTGAGCTGGGAGCGGCTCCGGGGCGTTTAGAGTTCCGGTTTCCGGTTGCTGGGGATAGGCTTCTTGGGGGCAAGGAAACACGACGGAAACGCATGCCTTTCAGGGCAAAAAGGAGAGTCAAGCCGATTTTGCTTCGTAGATGCTGTGCAAAGAAACCACACCGAGCACACAGAGCTGCTCACAGAACAGTGGCGCTCTTTTGCCTCCATGTTCAAATGCTTCAAACGGCTCGCTTGCAGGTGTATGTTGCACTTCAATCAACTCCAAAACCTTGAAGTCGGGCTGGGAACCATGCCTCTGCAAATCAACTGCGCCACGTGTTGGGCTTGCCGTTTTGGTGTGCAAGGCTTCTGCTGGCTTCCCAAGAAAAGGATGCGTGAGGTCTGGAAATCAAAAGGCGATCGGCTGTTGTTTGACCTCTCGCCTGAATCAAGCATTCCCTGCGTGGCAAAAGGAAACCAAGCAAGCACTCATGGCCCGGCATTTCCAAACCTCCAGATGTCCACATGCAAAATTCCCACATCCCCTGCTAAAAGTTCGGCTGGTTTAGTGGTAGTTTACTAAAATTGACCTAGTTGCGGGGAATACCAGGAGACTTTCTACAAGTCCCTTCCGGAGGTCTTGGCATGGAAGTTCCATGGTTTTGGCATGGCAAACATGTTTCTTACCCGAGGAAAAGGATTGGATGAAACAAAGCCCAAAACAAATCTCACCAGAGCAAAGTTCAACTTTGAACAAGTTAGCTAAGCTCGTTTTGAAGCTGACGCGACTGCAGGTTTTAGTCCTTGTTTCCATCTACCAGGGTTCCATTGTATTTTGGGTACCCCTTTGTGACCCACACCCAGCTCACTCTACCCCTTCATGGGGGCTGCACCCCCCTCCCCCTCGTCCACCGTCCTCCATTTTTGTTTTTCCGAGTGTCGCTGGATCAATCCGCAGCGGATGGCGCGCGAGTCCTCTTGACAGCTGCGCTGGTAGGGGCCGGAATGGAAACCTTCGGGATCCTTCGCACAACCCCCCCTTTCGAAAGGCAACAGCGTCTGCATGTTTAGATGAATGCAGTTTGCCACAATCCCGACTGCGGATGGACAGAATTCTGCAGCCTGTGAATAATCGAATAAACCACCTACTCGCAAAGGATCCCGCAGTACGGCAGTTACATCAGCCGGACCTCGGCACGGAAGTCATTTCCTTGTTCGAGAGTTTGACTTTTGCACCATGACTTTAGCCCCTTTACATTAGTGCTAGTTGAGGGTAGCCTTTTCAGGTGAAAACAAAGGGAAGCCAAAAGAAAGTCTACTTTTGGAGGCACCACATAGGGCATCTGACAACTTGCAAAATAGCGATCCCCTTGCACTTCAACATTTCTGTCATGTTGTACAGCCATCTGTGCAAACATAAATGTAGCACCCGCTCGCAAGTGTGTCCCAGAACGCCTTCGTTTTGGTTTCACTTTGGGTTGGGAGAAGCCCACCTTATACCAAAGTGGGACCATGATTTCATCACTGAGATTGATTCCCTTGGTATCACCACAAATAACTTTAGTTGTTCCCTTGCTCAAACTTAAGTTGTTTGATGGATATGTCACAAACCCCTCACTCTAGAAATCTCCAAAGTCTAGGGACCAGAAGCTGGCCGTAGAATCGACCGTTTCCCACCCATGCTCCTTGTTCCTGGGGGGGTCCCTTAAAAACGGACACACACACACACACACACACCCAACTATGGCACCACAGAACTCTGAGCTGCTCGCCCCGCGATCTGGGCCCCGAACAATGGCAGCAGCTTCGCGCGCACGGAGGCGCGCAGGCGCTCCATGACCTCGCTTTGGGCTTCCATTTCTCGTTGGAAACCAAAGGGCCGCTGTGGAAGAAGTATTCGTTTCCCGTAACGCTTGGATGAAGATGTAACCAAATGGGTGTCTTTTTGTAGGAGTTGGACCCCCAAACAATTCGGTTTCCTTTCGGTTTACCTGAACAACCACAACCCTGAAAAACAAGACACACCCAAATAGCGTCCAAGATCTGGAGTGGCCCTTTCAGTTGTGTATCTGTTGCGGCCATTTCAAAGACATAAGCATGTGAACTTTGTGAAACCCACCATTCTCAGAGTCCAATTGAACCCACGTTCAAGGAGGGTACTACTTTTTGGCCGTCTTTGCAACTCACTTCCGTTTTTGCTTGACACCAAGAGCGTCTTCTCCGCATCAAGTCCCCAACTCGGGGAGTCTTTTCAAGGAAGCCAAAGGGCAACGGGGACATGTAGGACCCCTCATCATGTCCCCGCTCAGGTTTCAAGACAAACGGAACGCTTGAGCACAGATGTTTCTCCTATGAGCTTCTAGTTGCCAACGCTAAGCAAAGCCCCAGCGCAACCCAAGGCAGAACCTTGTGATCGAAGGGGGTCTGATCAAAGGATGGTTGTTGCAGAGTGCCTAAACCCCCATGTTTAAACACCCTCGTGCTGCTCAGTTGCCCAGTTCGGACCTGGACATGAATTTGGTGATCACCATTTGGAACATTTAGTAAAAGACCAACAAGACAAATAAGAAAAGGTCAGATCCAGTCGAATTGCTTGTCTCAAAATAGGATTTGGACCCTGAAGCCTCATGTCTTTTTACCCCAACACAAAAAACACACACCCGTATATCGTACTCCCATGCCCACGTCATGGATTCTCGAAAAATTGGTTGTTGCCGCCACAAATGCTTAGCTGGTCCTTGTTTACTGGGCTCCATGTATATTTCCCCTTTAACATCACCACGCAATGCCCAACACCCGGGACCGGGGAATATAGGGAACCCTGTCTTTACTAGCAAAAACTCAAAGCAAGGCGTCTGCCGTGGAGCGTCAACGGTTTTCTTGGCGGCAGCGAATGCAAGTGCACTTTTGCGCATCAGGACATGCTTGGGGCCTGACACACAACAACAAAAGGTATGGTTGTGTTTTGGATTCCTTGCTTTCTTGTTTTGCAAGTTGACGCGTGTTTCATGATTTGCTTGCCTTGCTTCACTTGCGACACGGAACCTACATCCTGGGTCCGCTCTCAGACCGTCGTGAAAGAGAAAAAAACAGCTGGGCCCCCGGCTGCAAACATCACTGCTGACTGCGTCATGCCTCGCATGATCTCCTGCGACAAATGCGCCCGTCTGGAAGTCACAAGGAGGGGCGCCTGGTTCCTTTGTAGCGAGGGGCGAGGGATATCATGGATAGTGTGTAAATCAGTCCCTCTAACTGGTGGTTTGGATTGGTGGTTGGTGGTTAGGGGTTAGCTTCCCATTTACCCTCTACAACAGCCAGGGGTTGAAATCCCCAAACCACATGGGGACGAGGGAGCGAGCCGCAGGACAGTGCGTGAGATAAGCATCCCAACCTTTCATCTCCCACATTACACGTCCTACCTTCCAGAGTTACCAATTGGTCAAGTGACGGTGAAAAGAGTGGGAGATAGAAATGTAGGTGATAGGGATGAGGGATATAGACAGAATACATCAGGTCATAAGTATAGTGAACAGGAATCTCTTACACATCGAAGCGTAATAAAGTAAAAACAGATAATGATAAAGGGATAAAGACTTGTAAGACCAACGCTTGGCGGTTTGTGAAACAGATAACCAACGCTTGGAGAAGTAGACCGCCGACAAGAGAAGAAGAAGAACAATAGATGGAAGACATGTAAGAACATAATAGAAAACTAACCAAGAATAAAGTGAACCATTGGTTGATAATGTGAGAATGCGGTATTATTTTACCTGCAAACTACTAACAAGAGAAGACAAAAAAATCGGATCGACCATAGAAGTGAGGAAAATGATAGATTCTGATGAAATGACGTTCTTAATAAAAGCATTTCCTAGACGTATAGCAGCATTAGACAAATAGTGTACTGTACACCGTGTACTAGCACACGCTAATTCCCAGGGATCTGGAAGATAGAAAGCTTCTCCTGGCCACATCCCTAAAGTTGGAGAAGACAATCAATGCAAACATGTCCAAAAGAAAATAGAGCTTCAGAAACTAGACAGTGTCCAACAAGAAGAACATGTTGCTAATAAGACGTCATATGTTTTTCGGTAATTAGTTTGATAAATCTCTAGGCCAAAACATCAAGAATATATGCATGCACAATAAACTAAAATGGAATATCATGAAAACATAATTCACTGAGAAGTGAATTTCAGCTCAACAATACCTATTGAATCATGGAGAGACCTACAATTATACTATCCTGCAACACTAAATAGACAGAAATATCATTCAGAAAACACAATGAGTCTGATCAAAAGTTAAGAAAATTAAACATAGCTAAAACATATAATTTCAAACTGTTTTACATCACCCCAACTACCCAATACAAATTTCGGAAAAAAACAATAACATATTATAACCAACTTAAAAATCGTCCTATAAATCGAGTCAAACATCCTTTAAATTTAACATGATGTAAGATATAAACATGATGGGAGTTCTAATAGATAATAATTGCGTTCAGATGCTTATATTGGAGAAGATTCCATGGGAAGAAGAGTTAATTCTTAGAAGCCAACCGTGAGCCGAGTTATTCATAGTGTCCACCGGCACTAACCATTAACCACCTGTCTAACCTTCCGGAAATCCCAAGAGAGAGGGATGTAGAAAGGGAATTAGACAGCCAATCAATATCTGACCTTTTGACATCTCTCTCATTCCCATTCTTCCGTCCATTCACCACCTCATAATCTTTGCTACTGGACGATTTTCGGGCTGCCCCCCAGTTCCTCCAAGAGACCATAGAATATCAGCCACATGATCCTTCCTTCCGTCACTTCCTGAGTCCTCCTCAGTGGATGTGGACAACCTTTCCTATACATTAGAGGATAGGACATGCGCTTGAAAGAGGAAGCAAAGCCGCAAACACACGCACACACGCCCTTTGGTGCAACAAACAAGCACCTTCGAGAAAAAGGAACAAAGGATGGGAGTTGGAGGAGTTGAACAAACATCTTCCCAAGCATCATATAGAAACCTGGGACGCAAGAGTAAACGAAACGCTTCCGGGAAGCTGGAGGAATGGGCCCTGTCTGGGGCAGTTGCTCCAGAGCAGAAACAGTTGAACGAGGAATCATCATGTCTCCTCGCTTGCGCAAAGATGCCCATTTCGAGCCCGGTCACTCACCCCAAGTGCCTTTCATGGAGCTCCCGAAAGTTCGCGTCCCTGTGTTTTGGATTGCTTTGTCGTCCCTGAACCAACCTCTTGGGCTTTCCTTTAAAACCAACAAACAAGAGGTACTCACTTCCTGAGTGGAGTGGCCAGAGAAAGTTCAAACTTTTTCTTTACCACTACAGCGATCTATTCCCAACAAGTGCAAAGTCCAGGAACTCGGGGAGTGAGGGCAAGTGGAAGTCCCTTGACAAACAAAACACCTCGGCACGGCCGCTGAGGCCGCCGGCCATGCTGAGGCCCCGGTAGAGCGCCGGGAAGCCCTCCTTCTCGAGGATCTGCGAGGGCGAAGGCTCCGGAGGGTCGGTTTGGAGCGAGCGCATGACGCCTCGAGCGATCTCGTCACAACCCAAACGGTATGGCCTCATGGCTGTTGTTTTGTCAGCCCCGGATTTGTTTTTGAACCAAACACCGAGAAACAAAAAACAACTTGCCAAGAACAGTGAAGCTACGGGTGTGTGTGTGTGTGGGTGTCTTTGTAGGATTTGGACCCCCAAAATGGGTGGTGTTTGTTTTGTTTTCCTTTCTAACTACAAAAAAGAGGTTACCCTTTAAAGGCACATATGGGTATGTTTCTTAAGGGCGCGAAGCCAAAATGAATCCGGCCCTCTTTTTGTTGCCCCCCCCCCATTTCCATACACAAGTGCTGATTCCTCAATCCCAAACAGGGGCCAATAGAGACTAAGGCCGTTGTTGTTTGGGGCCAATGGGGTCCAAAGAGGGGACCCTACCCATGGGACATATATAGTTTGAACAGCTGCAAATTGTCTCGTCTGCGCCTTGGTGCTGTTCAAAGTGCGCAGCGTCCAAGTACTCGCAGGCCAGTCACGCTGAGCGGAACACGTTCCGCGACAAGTGCCACGACAGTGTGAGATTGCCACATCCTCCCAGCTGATGCTTCGAGCCAGCTGCCTGGACTGGCGGACATCCACCTGGCACTGCCGCCTGGTGCGGAGGTCACAGGTGCCTATGGATGTCGGCCTCCCTGATCTTCTTCCTGAACGTGCACTGTAGGCCATCAACCGTCTGGCAGTCCGGCCGCCGGGCTGGGTGCGAAAGCAAGCTTCTCTGCAGGAGACCAGAAAGGATTCAACCAGCGTGTAGGGGACGCTTAGTTGAGACACCCCGTGTGTGTTCCTATGGAAAGACAATCCTTCAGGCGGACACTCACACAGAACTAGCAGGTAAGGGGAATTTATCCTTTCCTCCAAATACCATTGCTTAATATCATGCTATCCCCTGACTACAGTCAGATATTTGCCTTGAGAAACCTGTCCAGAAAATACCCTTAAACGGAGGGTGTGGTTGGCCCTAGAAATTCCGAGTCGGGCCCGGAAGAGGTGCTCACGAAGATGAGACGTGTCCTTCTCCGTCTCAACCAAAAAACCGACTTCTGTTGACCCCGGAACGAAATCTCCACGCCTATTAATCAAGCAGGGATTCTGTTTGATCCGGTCGAAACAAGGCCGCGGGTGCCGAATGGGAACCTATGAATCCAAGGGGTTGATGTCATGCTGGGCCAACATTTGGGGGGCTTTTTCTTGGGGGCCCCCAAAACGGTGAATTTCCTGTTGGTTTCCCAACCCAAACCACCAAACAAGGGGTACCCTCAAAAAAGAGACACACCCAGTTGGCGAAATCCCGCTTTGCTTCGCATGCCCACGATCCGAAAACGCCTTGCGCAGAGCTTCGGTGGGGCTCGACGCCAACTTGGCCTGGCCATGCCGACTGAAAACAGCTTGGACATGCATTGTTATTTTGCTTGAATACAAAACAAGCAAGGGTTTACATGTATTATACATACGCCCATGTTTCAAATCCACCCAGCTTGGGAATGCATGCTTTTGAAACATAAAGCAGACAACAGTTTATAAAATCCTGTGTTTGTTTAATTCTAAAAAAACATGGTATTTTTGTGGTTTAAAGCCTTCATGTTTTGAGGTTTTGTGGCTGGAAATGGAGAAGTTGCCACGATAGAACTTGAAGGGCCGTTCGATAATTTCTGGGGTACCCTAAAACCAAAATAAGTCATGATCATATCATATCGATGGACATCCCTGCCACCTGACCGGGTCGCTTCAAGTAATTCGGAGGAACGGCACAAGATGATGTTCCTTCAGTCGCGTTGCAAGTAGGGGAACCAAAAAATGAGCGGTTTAAAGCCACCCCGAAAAGGATGCCGCCTCCCGAGTCTGCGTTGGCTTTGGGGCCGGTTTTCGGCCTTCCGCAAATCTTTTATACTCTTAACTCAGGGATCCCACCTTGCCAAGAGGGAACTCCAAACGTGGCCCAGATGATCTAGGAACCCGACCCAGGGGCCAACAGGACCCAAGGACGCACGTCAAACAGGACGGAACACCGAGCAGCTCGACACATTTGCCTTTCGTCCCTCTGAGAGCTTTATTCACTCGGTTGCCCAGTTCGGAGAAATATAAACCGTTCGCCTTCTGGGGTCAGGACTGAAAGTGGATTAAAAGGGGAAACGCATGCAGGCCAAAGAGGCCACGTGGGAGTTGTGGCCCCCAGGAAGCGCAGCGCTCTCGGACTGAGCGATACACGCGATACCATTCTGAGTGTCGACCTGCCTGTCAAACATCATGTCTGCAATGCTGCTATGGAGAGGGATACGCTCACTTTCAGCCACAGGCCAATTGACAAGGTTGCAATAAAATCAGAAAAAACTACAAAGATATTGTCGTCTCTCGAATGGGCTTGGCATTTGTTTGGTTATTACTATCACTCCCCTGCGTGAGGCAACACATGGACCTACTGTGGATGGACAAAATCCATTTCGCACCACCTAAGCAACCCTGGTTTCTGATGATTCCCCTGCAAATACCGAGCAACACTGGGTTTCAACCATGGCTTCATTTCGTGGCGCGAGAAGCGGATTTTGCATGATTTCGGACCATCCGCGGAATGACACTTGGCCGGTTCTCTCAAAGCCCAAGGCCTGCATCAAAGCCTTTCCTCTCACCTCAGCGCGGGTGGATAGTAACATTACTCGAAATCTGCCACCCACGTGGGCTGTCCAAACTGATCCCCTGCTAAAAGTCGGACACTTGTGGGTTAAATGGAAATCCGACCACCAAACCATCTAAAAACCAAAACACCCACGGGGATGGCGGGGAACCACCAAGTAAGGTGGGATTCCCATCCCTGTGGATGGACAAAATCCATTTCGCACTATCGGTTGGTCAATCATTATTCGCTGGGGGTCCATCGATGATTAGGTGCAGGATTTCGTTTATCCACCGTATACTTTGTCACTTTAAAGGGCACTCCCTTGGTACTGCGGGTGGACGAAACCATCTCGCACCACTTGGAAACCATGGTCAAAACCATTGTTTTTTGGTACTTACAAGGGAATCGAATCAGAACGATGGTGTGAAGTGGACTTCGTCCACCCACGGTATCACAGAAAACCACGCCGAACCCCACCATTTCCCGCATGCAGCGCAGGACGGGCAAGGGAATCAGAATCACCATGTTTCTGGGCTGGTGGAAATGGCCCTGTCACTGGATTTCCCCCTTGACGGTTGCAGTTTACCAGTGGGCTCCACTAAGACTGCCACTTTGGGAGGTCCAGCAAGGGGAAATTGTGGTGCTTGATTTTAAAGGGACATGCCTGGGAAAAAGGACACCCTTGTTTTGGTGGATGTCAAAAGGACAGGTGGTATCCCCATGAAAGCTGCCCCGCCCCAGAGCATTTGTTGGGCCTATCGTAGGCTTCCAGCTGTGAAAACACGCACAAACCTGGGTGGATCATCTGATTTGGAGTCGACTCCACTTGAATTCGTCGGCTAGTGTACCCCTGTGTTGCCCAGTCTAAGCTGGCGGTCAAATCCCTGCTAAAGGTCGAACACTTGTGGGCTAAATTCGGACACCCTAATCGCCAAGAAACAAATATTCATGTCGGCAAAAATGGCGGGGATCCTTGAAGCATCCCGCATATTTGTTGTGCTGTCCCACCTTCTTCCCTGAAGTCCCTTCATTTCAGAGGAAACCACCCAGAAACGGGCAGGAGAAGGGCACAACCCCATCCAACTGCTTTTCCGCCTTCTGAAAAAATATGAGAACATCTGTCCAGTGGTGAAATGGATTCCCTTCAAAACGGGAACACAAAGCAGTATTTGTTTCAGCAAATGGAAGACATCTCTGGATCTTCCGAGGCGACGGCGTAGGGATACACCAGGCAGGTGGCGATGCCCCGGGCAACTGAAGCGGAAGGCGGAATCGGAATCGAGGGGGCTCAGGGTCCTCGAGTGATTTCCCCTTGAAGTTGGTTTGAAGGGAACTGACAGGAAGCCGTTGCCATTTTGGCGGCTCTGGGTTTGAACCACTTTTGGGTGGCTAAAAGCCTTTTCACTCGCTTTGCCACTCATGAAGCGGATGTGGGGTAGAACCAAACCGAAGCCTTCTTTTGGGGTGGTTTCCCTTTACAAACATCATGGACATAATGATTTTGAGGATTTCACTTTAATGGACCCAGTTATATACAACCAAACTGGTTCTCCCAAGAGTGAAGCCCAAACAGTTGGGACATGAAGGTTGAATCCCAACCCTGGTTTCTTGCCGGTTCGATAGGCAGGGAATGAACCATGTACTATGGTTTGTTTCAGAGGATGCCTTGGCTCGTTCCCAAAGCCCTTGTTGATTCCTACTCAGAACCAGTAAATGGTAGATACTGTACCATCATTGACTTATAAAGATCCCTTTATTCATGGACCTCGCAGATGGGTGCTTCGTGAATGTTCAACCCCGCCTGCGCCGAGAAAGAAGGCCGTGATGCTCCGCAATTCCTACCCCAGAGCGGGTCCCAGTAGATGTTTATTTGGGGGGAACAAATGGCACCTCTTTTGGTAGTTGACTTTAAATCCGCCAATCTTGGCCAGCATGTCTCATGTCCAGTCTACCCTCAAATAGTCAGTGGCTTTGGACTAAAGCAATGTTGTTTCGGAGCGGAGGTTAGGGCTTTGTGGTTTAGCTGGGATTGGAGGTTTGGGCCTGATGCTTGATGCTTGCGGTTTTGGATTGGAGGCTTGTTGTTGGAACAAAAACACCCTAATCAAGGGCATGTGGTTTTGGAGGTACGGATGCTGATGCATCCCCAACCCCCCTCATATATGCGGTATAGAACCTTCATACCTCCAACACCCATACCTCAAAATGCGTTCGAGCTAATGTCACTTTGGATCGCGTAACCCTGAGGACCCTAATCAGGTTCAGCATGGAGGGCCGGACGAATCACGCCCCCTAGTGTCAACATCAGATTGATCATTAATATGATGCTGACACCAGAGGGTGCCCCCTTGCTCGAGGGGACCTGGAACGCTTTTGCGGCGAACGTTCGCCCCGAAAATCCCGCCGGTTCTGCATGCCCACAGAAGCAGCCCATGGTTTTGCCCACAAAAAGACACAACAAAATTGCTTGTTTGTGGTGAACTAAAGGGACACCCTGAAAGTGTGGTCGGGTCACAAGGCAAAGCATACGGATCACTCCCGAAAATCGCTTCATTCATTCAATCGGTTTTTTGTCCATGGTCCTGTTCAACGGGTACGGTCGACAAGTTTGGCATATCAAAACGGAAATCGGGTGCTCTTTTGCAAATGACAACGCCATCTGCGCTCCATGTGGACAATTCTTAGATTTCGTGAGCTTTGTGTTCTCACTGAAGTTCCCACGCAGTGACCATCTTCGCACCCTTATGGACAACAAAGAACCGAGAACAAACAAGTGCTTCTCGAATCCTTCTGTCGCCGCAGGAGTTTGAATCCCCAGCCCAAATGGGCGTTTCTTGACACACCTACCCTTTTCTCCTTCTTGAAACCATGCAAATTGTTTTTCGTTACTTGAGGACACCCCCCGAGAATATGTCTGGCAGGTTTTGGGCAACCTCAAACCAACATGCCATTGATAAGGTCACTACTTGCCCTGAACAAGGTTCTCGCAAAGAAGCCTCGACCAACATGCCAAACGAACAGCCAATGAAGCAAACAGGTCCGTGGTGGAAATGGTGTCATTTTTGGGGAAACCCCTCTTGCTGGTGCTCAGCAGGGAATGACTCCTAATGTTGGTATTTGATTCATAAACGGCTCCCCTCCTGAACAATGGACTCGTCAGAATAGGGGAGGGCCCAATACTACTTTAGTCTTGAAACCTCTTCTTCGTGAGCAGACTTGTGGGAAGAATACTTTAGTCTTGCCCCCACTTCTCGCTAAGCATATGCTGTTGGAATACTACTTTAGTCTTGCAACCACTTCTTCCTGAGCGATTTTTGTTGAATACTACTTTAGTCTTGCAACCGCTTCGTGTTGAGCATGTTTTTTGCTCTACTACGTTAGTATTGCAACCACTCTTGCTGAGAAGGTTCCACAGCTATTGTTGCAACTTTGCTCAGTTGTTTTGGATTATGTGAGTCACAAAGTCTGGTGGGCCAACAAAAGGGGGCTTTGAAAGTAAAAGCAATGCACAAAGTTGGGGAAGCCTTTTGGTCGTTTAGTCACTTTAGTCCCTATTCGGCTTTTTGGGAATACGAAACAGTCCATCCGCGCCTTGGCCTGGCCGCCTTGCGCCTGGGGTCAAAGCCTAGATTCTGGGAACCCCGAATGAAGCAGTGAACAGATCCTGGGAGGGGAGCCTCAGGGGAGCCCCCAAAAAAAGCGTCCCACGAAGGGGACACCCCCCCATCAAAATCAAGCAGTTCTATTCAGATCCGGGGTGTCCACGGGGAGGCCTTGATCGCGAAACGATGGAGAAAATGAAAAGCAAACATGTGCCATTGGTAGGCCTCCCATCTCCACTTCCCCTCTCAGCGAAATTCAACTGGGTAATAGTAACCCTGGATTAAACAGAACCTGTGCTTGATTTTGATAGGGTCTCCCTGCTGAGTCGGGATCCGTGAGTTTTGGAGGGGCCCCCCAATCCCGATTTAAATAGGGTTTATTAATCTTGGGTCAGCATTCACACACTTCCGTGTGGATGAAAGGGGATGGCTTGTCATGGCTCGTCTATCGCCGTCACGACGTACTGTGTGTTTACTATCTTTCCTTGTCCATCATGTGTCTTATCATTTACATTTGGTTGCTTTTAAGATGAGTTGCAACAATAAAGAAAAGAAAAAACCAAACAATAAAAACTGTAAAAGAAAACCAGACAACAAAGATACATTTTAAATAGAATTACATTAAAGATATAAACATAGAAAAAGAAAGGGAATTAGAAAGATATTCTGAAGCTTACAAACAATACAAACAAGAAATAGATGAAAGGCCGGATTAGCTGTCGCCCTTCGTACTTGGCTGCGAGTTGACGTGACTGCGCTTCGACGGCGTCAGCTAGGACCCGTGTCTCGGAGACTGCTAAGGGCTTTCAAGTCCAGGACAATTATGTGCTACCTCCGCGTTGAAGGCGCTGCGGATGAGCTCCTTAGGGGCTTGTCCTTGGCTTATCCAATAGCCACATCAAGCATGGGACCCTGGAAGGATAAACAATGACAATTCTGGTAAAGAGAAACTAAAGGACGCCGTTGAATGGTTTGTCCGCCCTTTTGCTGTGGTTAGGCTCGCACCCTCGTAAATTGAGTAGCGCCCGACACTCGTTGACTTCGGGTTCCAGCATGGTCATAAAAGCTGAAAATGGGCCGTAGTATAACCGCACTAAGCCTGGAACCAAGCCTGCTCAAACGGCCAAGAGGACTCGGTTTGCGCTCGATTGATTGCCCATTGCCTAGCGAAACGCATTTCTTCGTCTTCCAGGTGTTCTTCGAAGCTTCAGGAAACCGGGGCTTGAGATTCCGCAACTAAAATTAGGAACCCGCCATAGTTCTGGCTCAGTTGCCCAAAAGACCTGGATATGAAAAGGGTGATCACCTTTTGAGGCCATGACTTGACAAAAAACCACAATGTCACAATGGTCGACCTTGGACAACTGATATGGTTGTCCGAACTCCCCCCCTTGTGAGGTTGATGACCATCGACCAAGAAAAACGGATGGCTTGAGCATGGCACATATTCTTCATCCATGGTCCATATGGCTGTCTTTTCCAGGGAACCCCAACATTGTCTCAGATTTGTTGGTGTCCCTTTTCTTAAAATACAACCGAAAATGGGTTCCCTTGAAAAAATATATACACATCTCAAACAGCTTCAAACGTTTGAAGCTGTGACTGCCATTTCACCATGAGATCCAACTAAACACCCCTACGAGGAATGGTCCAGCCGAAAAAGCCGCATGAGGGTCGCCATGAACCTCTAGCTTTTGGGAGGTTTCAGCGGACCTCACAAGGGGTGTGGGGGGGGGGTGGGAAACTTGTTCAAGCAAGCAACAGGGAAAGCAACAAAACGGACATGGCACTCTCTTGCCAACCTGCAACCCACAACGGCCCGTCACGGCCCGTCCCAATGATTGCTACAGTTGCCCAAAGGACCTGGACAAAAAGGTTAACTTTTTAGGGCCATGATGAAAAATGGACCAACATGGGAAAACCGAAAACTCCAACGCCAACAGCTGAGCTACTTTGTCACTTGGAAGAGGCTTCACTTGGCCCACAGCCTTCAGCTTCCTAAAGCCAAGAAATGTTCCACATGAGACGGGGCTTGTCTATTTTGGGGCCTTCCGAGTAGAGTCTTCCCCTTTTTCACCCGAAGAGGAGCACAGCCGGACCCCAATGGCTTCCTTTTGGTTTCCCTTTAAACCCACTCCAAACAGGGGGTTCCCTCGAAATAACTCTGCCCCACATCTACGGACCCCGTACCTGCTGATCTCCGAAAACGGCCGCGTTTCGAGAACAAAAAACGCGGCAAAAGGCGCGAAGCGCTTTCGGCACCTGGAGGATCATGGCCTTGACCCAGTCAAAGAGCGCAAACTCCACGCCCGGCTTCAAGGACAGCACAAAGTACCTCCATGGCAACATGTGGGGAACCCCGTCCCTGGTGTCAATTCAAGGGGGGGGTTCTACAAGGCCCCTTGAGAACTAGGGGACCTCAAGGAACCCTATGCCCATCAACTACCCACCCTCCTCGTACCTACCCCGCTTAAGAATTCCATAAAACCTCCCAACCCGCCAACCTTGCTGGAAGATTTCATGGAACTTTCCATGGCGGCCCTTGACAACCACAGGAAAATAAGGAAGTCACCTTCCATTTGCTTAAGTCCCCTAGAAAAAGACAAAAAAACACATAGTCCCAGCAGTGATAGACTAGATAGATTCCCTTTAAAACCAACACGGGAAAACAACAATTCTTCAGCAAATGGACGGCCGCACCCTGCCCACCAGCCAACCAGCCAACCACCGAACCAACTAATGGACACCCTGGAGTAATAAAGCGAAAGTGTGCCATCTACTTCGACCTAGTGTATAGGGGAACGCGCTTGATGTGTCAAAATCGACCCCGGGAATGGGTGTTGTCCTTTTGCCTTAACTTTAAAACCCACCCCTAAGTAGGGTACCAAGCCTGAAAATAACTCGGTCACATTCAAGGGGTCCATGATAGACAGACATGCTCCAAACCAGGACAATGCCCCAAAACTCAAACCAATGTGACAAGGGTACCCTAGAAAACACAGTCACCTCCCGTTCCCTAAATCTGGGTGTGTCGTTTTCAGGGAATCACACAATTTCCTTGTTTCCCTTTGGCTTCCCTTTAAAACCACAAACACAAGTTGGCATCCCCCAATTTCAGACCCACATCCATCATCTCATGAACGAACCGAATCGGAACCGCGCGGACAACTGGAGCTCCCCGTTGTTGGGCGCACGCTTTGCCGGAGGCCCAGGCGGACATCAGCCCCTGACGCGTGAGCAGCGCCTGGCGGACGATCTCTTTGCGGTCGGCGCCCTTGGGGGCCGTCTGCAGCTGGGTCACGCAGGCCTGGCGCGCAGACAAGCGGCCGTGGTAGTTTTAATGGGAATCTAAAGGAACCACCCATTTTGGATGCCCTTATTTTGAATGTCAACCGCATGAAGGTTGCAGAACTACAGATTTAGCAGTGGAGGACATTGCACATGTGAAATCAATTTTACCTTTGGCTCGGGCCTCCATGGGAATGCTGGTGGGCACGCACAGCAAGTCGCCTGAGAGTTTGGCAACCAGTGACCACTTTCGGGAAGGGGGGGGCGGGGTACATATTTTCTTGACAAGGTACTCTAAGGATACATCCACACACAACTTAACACCCGCATAAGAGCTGACATGGATTTCAGACAGGGGGCTAAAAGTCTTCCTAGAGCTTCTATGCACGTCGAGGTTTGCTTGTGTCAATCAGAAGAGTGGGAAGAAGTAAGAAACAATTGCAAAGTTTGCGGACCCCTTTCGCCTTGGCCTTGGGGTTCACAGAAAATAATATGTCGGGTCTTTTCTCATATCCAGTCCCTATATGTTAAAAAACCAATCTCTGCAAATTAGCATTGGAACCTAAACCGCCTTCATTTCGGGAGGAATCTCCTTTTGGGGGACGGTTCCACTTTTTGGGCAACATGTTAATTTGCTGGGGAGTACCCTATACAAATCTGTTAGCAAGGGACTTGCCAAAAGTTTGAAGTTTGCCAACTCAAGATGTAAGAATCATCAAATTGCCACAAGCTGAAGCTCTCAAATCGGCCAAGCGGCTCAGGTAGCCGCAGAAAACAGTGGCCTGATCAGCCGCCAAGACGCGCACGCGCAAGAAAATTACATCGCGATCAAAGCCGATATCCACCCCGTCTATGTTTGTGAATTGGGTCCATCAGACTGACCCCTTGCAGCAAGCGTGTCAAATGGGCCTCAATTAAGACTCGGGTAAGTGAAGGTTACAAGCAACCCCAACCATAAATCAGTGCGGCTGCCCTTTCTATTAACTTCTCATGTATATACCAGGGTTGATCTTTGTGCCTCACCGCGTGCTAGTTGGGAGCATCCCAAAAATGTAATGTTATTGGTCGAACCAATAGATTCTTGTTTGCAACATCGCCTGTTTGCCCATCTTTGAGGTGTGTGATGGGTGAACGGGAAAATATAATACCCGAGCTAGTTGGGTGCTACACAAAGGGGCCTGTACTTTGAAATACTCATTTGGGTCAACTAAAACATATGGGCTATTTAGCACCCAGTTTGCCTCTGTAAAGGAGGCACCATGGTAAGTCAGTTGACATATCCTCCCGTTGATTTGCTTTTGCGTTTGAACCTCATGCAGTGCCTGGTCGGTTTGACACCAAGAATATGTCAATGACACTAAGTTGTTTACACAATGTCTACCAACTCAACGACACACGCTCTTGGTGTGCCAACTTTGAATGACACCAAGCCGTTTTCTTTGGGCTCCAATTCCTAATTTTGACACCCACCTCGGTCGCCTTCGTTCGTGGATCCCGGTCTGGCTGAGGTCGCCACCAGCAGGCCCGGCTCACAGCCTCGCAGCCTCGCGCATGTTCGAAGCGAAGCGTCCCCTCACACAAACCCAATCCCTCCCTAAGGGTTATCAGCCCTTTTTTGGGGGGGAGGGGGGGGGAGGGCAGGGTCCCTTAAAGGATACCAGTTGGGATTAGTTCAAGAATAACTTCCAGTTGATTTGGAGCATTCCCTTGTAAAGTAGGTGGTGTTTAGATGTACCCTTCAAGGAACCCTGTTTCCATCTTAGGTGGTGCAGGATTCCGTCCATCCACAGTATTTTGGGGCTGGGGGGGCTACAGTTTTGGCACATACCCAACTTGCACCTGTAGAGGCGTTTTGGAGCGGTCCTCTGCTTGCTTCGATCTCCTTCAATTCGCTGCGTTCCCCGCATAAATGTTGGCCCGAGGTTGGTACCCCTTCAAGGTTAAAGCAGGTTGTTCAAGCCATGGGGCGTCGTCAAATATGGAGACCCCCAAAATGCCGAAGCGGTTTCCTTTTTGGTTTCCTGATAGCCCAACTGTTGCTCGGTGTTTGTGGCAAAATAAACACCCCCTGCTCACTTGCTCGTCCCCAGCAAAGCCATAACTGTTCATCAACCTAGGCGGTTGAATCGCTCCGGCCTGCGGTGCAGGGACTTCACGGCCATGTAGTTCAGCACGTACAGGGCCTTTTGCTCAGTGGCCTGCCGGAGACCCGCAGACCGGGGACGTTTTCAGATGCACGGGCGGTTTTCAAACAAAACATCGAACCAGGGTTGGAATTTGTACATTAAGGTCAACATAAATCGAGGGGTTCTCCTGTTGAGGAAATGGGCATGGAACCATGGAATTGTTTTTTTGGGTGTAACATCAAAATTAGTAAACATGGGAGAGAACTATCAGTCATCACTTTGCCCCAGCATCAAACCACCCCCCTGTCTCTCTGTGTGTTTGTCGATGATATTGGGTGTGTTCTTTTTTGTGGGTACCCGTTTGGAATTTGGGATGGTGTTAAAGGGAAAACCACCGACGCCACATCCAGTTTTGAGACAAGCCCATCTGAATTTATAGGACACCTTTTTCTGATGGGTTTGAGAAACTTTACTCGATGTTTAAGCCCATATGTTTCATGGGCCCCATCAATGCTGTGGATAAAAATCCTGCACCTTTCAGAACCCCGGAATCATGATTCCCCTGTAAACACCCACACACGTAATGGTTTCAACGGTGGTTTCTCAGGTGGTGCGAACGGATTTCACAACCATCCACGGTTCTCGCTTTGCCATCCGCCTCCAGAGCGGAGAAGGGCAAGAGACCCCGGTACAGCCTCGGGAAACCGGCGACTGAAATTCGCAGTCGGAAGTTTTGGGTGTTAACGGGTCCCAGACCTCGGGAAGGAGGATATCCATAAAGGCCAGTTTTGTCCACCTTCAGAGTCCGCTTTGCTTGGGCGCGCATTCTATTTTTGGGAAGTCTGCTAAGGGACCTACAAGAGGCTTGGAGGGCATTGGAGGTCTTCCGCAAAAAGTACAACCCCAGGGAGGCGAATCAATTGAAGGGCTGTGGAGGTGAAAAACCCGCCGCTCCGAAAAAGAGGAATTCGGTCACAATAGAAAGTGAAGAATCCTGCTCACCAGCTCCTCACATGTAACACTGTAGGCCATGGTCATGGCATCCCCAGGAATCCTTGTCGTAGTTGTCCAAATTCTCGGGACGATTTCAGAAAATCTGTGGGGCCTGGTGCCCAAAACCGATTCCATCTTCAAGCTCCGCAGGCTGCTGGGACTGTTCCCCACCGATTTCACAAGGGGCCGGTATGCGGTATGCTAGCGGGTTCGGCTTCTATCTGGGCTATTTCGGCATGGCCTACGTAACTCACTTGCCCAAAGCCAAATTTGGCCTTCTCGTTTCCCTTTTTGGTCCATGGTCCCAACAGGTGATCCTTGTATTTCCAGGTCCGTTGGGCAAGTGAGATGAGCTTGTTAGAACCAACGTCTCGGGTTTTGGCCACTCACATAACGGGAGGAGCCATTGAATGAATAGTTTTACGCAGGGATCCGAAGGATGCGCAACCCGAAAGGAGATTGGTGAACGCATGGACAACACGTCCTTGGGGGGCGAAACGCCACCAAACAACATATATAGTATCGGGCTAGCAGATAGAATATAATTTACTCCGTCCGATCCTCACTTAGAATATAATTTACTCCGAAAATATCCCCAAACAGCAGTTAGAATATTTAGGAGAGTGACACTTAGAATAATTCACATTTGCGCAAATCCTTGAAATTTGAGCACCCTTTCAGGTGGCCAGCAGATAGAATATGCTTTGACAGATAGGATATTTCAAAATAATCCTGTTCTGATAACAACACACTTCTCCAAGGTTTTAGACTGCCAGGACTAAATTAGTATTGCCAGAACTTAAATTAGCATTACCAATATTTAAGATTAGTATCGCCAATACTAAATCTAGTGAAGGTTTTTTGGCTTAGAGGGGGGGGGGGGAAGCTCGAACGCTTTCACGAAAAGCTCAAAGGTAGAAACTTTGGAGTTGCACGCGGGCGGTGAAATCCGGTCCTCCGAGCCAGGACTAATTTTAGCACTGCCGGTACTTAATTTTGCATTGCCAGTACTAGTTTGAGAATAGTACATTCATATTGTCAGTACTAATTTTAGCATTGCCAATTGTAAATTTAGTATTGGCAGGACATTCTTGCTATTGCCGGTACTGAATTTAGCATTGCCAATATAAACTTTGAATTGCCAATGCTAAGCCTAGTAAAGTGTAGCAAGGATTTGAACTGCAAAATTATGTATTTAAAAACGTATCCTGGAAGGTTTTTTGACTACAAGAAGAGAGGGTAGCTTTGCTGGACTGAAGTGCCACCCCTTGTTGGAGTGTACTGAAGTGCCCTTAAAAAATAAGCCATCCAATGCTTGCTATCTCTCTCTATTATATATATATATATTAAAGTGTGGCCTGATGAAGGTTTTCCGGCCCAAAAACAAATATTCTATCTGTGCCCCCCATGGTGTTCATGTATAGCTTCGGCTCGGTATCGTTTGGGGTTGGGCTAAAGTGAAAGGAAGGCCACGCTTTTGGACCCTCAAAGAATAAACACAACAATATTTACTATCTCTATATCTTTCATTGTGCCTACGATTGATTCATCACGTGATGAAGTTTTGCCAACAACACATATTCTAACTGTGCCACCCCATGTGTTCATTTGTATTTTGGGCTCGGTACCGTTTGGGGTTGGGTCAAAGGGAAAGGAAGGCCACCCCTTGTTGGAGTGTACCGAAGTGCCCTTAAAAAATAAGCCATCCAATGCTTGCTATCTCTCTCTATTATATATATATATATGTATATATACATATTAAAGTGTGGCCTGATGAAGGTTTTCCGGCCCAAAAACAAATATTCTATCTGTGCCCCCCCATGGTGTTCATGTATAGCTTCGGGTCGGTATCGCTTGGGGTTGGGCTAAAGGGAAGGGAAGGCCACGCTTTTGGACCCTCAAAGAATAAACAAAACAATATTTACTCTCTCTATATCTTTTATTATGCCTACGCTTCATCACCTGATGAAGTTTTGCCACAAACAAATATGCTAACTGTGCCACCCCATGGTGTTCATTCGTATTTTGGGCTCGGTACCGTTTGGGGTTGGATTAAAGGGAAAGGAAGGCCACGCTTTTGGACCCTCAAAGAATAAACAAATCAACATTTACTATCTCTATATCTTTTATTATGCGTCTGATGAAGTTTTGCCAAAAACAAGTATTCTAACTGTGCGCTTCCATGGTGTTCATGCATATTTTGGGCTCGGTGCCGTTTGTGGTTGGGTTAAAGGGAAAGGAAGGCCACCCCTTGTTGGAATATACTGGGGTACCCTCAAAACATAAGCAATCCAATATTTACTATCTGTATATTTAGTAATTTATGCATACGATGAATCACCTGATGAAGGTTTGCAAAAGCAAATATTCTATTTGTGCCCCCCCAAATGGTGTTCATTAATTTTTTGGGCTTGGTACCGCTTGAGTCTCTGGAGAATTTGCTGTATATGAAATATTCTATCTGTTTGTGGGAGAGGGGCATGGCCCGTCGGGCTGAGCATTTGAGCTCCGAAAAAAAGGAGAAGCCATGCATTCCTCTGGTAAATCACGTGTGTCTTTCTTAGGGGGACCCCTCAAAACGGTTGGTCTCCGTTTGGTTTTGCATATACCCTTGAAAGAGAGACGGACCCAAATGGAAAATCATGGGACCCACATGGTTTGCTGAAAGCCGCATATAGAAATATCTAGCAACGGGCTAGCAGCTAGGACATTTATCGCAGAGTAGTTGTTCATAGCAGAAACCCTTATTTTGAAATATTATATTTGTTGTTTTCTTTTTGTTTGATATATTCTATTTTATTTTATTTTAATATTCTAACTGTATTTTTTCATATTTATTCTAACTCATGTTTTGAATATACTTTTGAAATGTGCATTTTCATTTACTCTAAAAATATATATTCTATCTGCTAGCCCGATACTATAGGTGTGTCTTTTTTGAGGGTACCCTTTTTGGGCTTACTTGAAAGGAACACCAAAGGGACACCATCATTTGTTGGAGTCCCCTATTTGGAGACACACCCATATCTGTTCAGAGTCTGTTTGATATTTAGCCTATCAGGGATAACATGACTATGGGGGTTTGGGTTACCATCAAGCTGAATTAAGTCATGACCTTGGGAACATCATGTTACTGCAATTATTGGGCCCCTCGTATTACCCTCAAATGCATCAATTTCAAGACCCCTGTTGTTTTGTGACAAGAGCTACAGGGCTGTACCTGCCTGAAGTCTGGGAAAGGCTGAGGCGCAGACGCAAAAAAGCCTTCCTGGCGTGGCGAAATCAGTTGCGGATGGACGAAATCCATGCCGATCGGCATGAGTTGCGATTGGTGGCTTGTCAACCACTATTCATAGAAAGTCAGCCATTCCAATTTCCGTTTGCTTGGATTCTATTTTCCCTGTGGGTTTTGAGGGGAATTTATCACTGCTGGAAAATGCTGGACACATGGGCCATGTTTGCTCCAGGACATAAGCAAATAGAGGCCAGCTGGTGAATTGTCTGGGGCTTTTGCTTATTTAGGCCTTCTTCAGGTATGGTTTGCCTTTGGACTGAAGGAAGGGGTAGGGACGGGGTTGCATACCTAATGCCAATCCTCAACCAGGTTCAATGACCATCTCGCATGGTGGAACATGCAGCACGTTCTCACTCATGGATGGAGCTTGTTTTGAGTGGGGCTTTGCAAAACCATTGTGATACTGCGGATGGACGAATCCATTTCGCACCACCTTTCAGAACCCCTGGAATGATTCAATTCCCCTCTTCGTGGTGCTAGCGGATTTCACAAGCATCCACAAGTGAGGTTGACATTGACGTCACATTTCGGCGGATGCCCTCAGGTTCTCCCTTGCAAGGGCCCAGGGTGAGTTGCAAAAAGCTGCCTGCTTTAGGAGGCCCTGCGAATTGGCTGCCATTTGCGTGATTGTTAGGGCCCCCAAAAGGCATTTACAAAGAACCCTATTGGCCCCCAAGAACGGCCTTGTCTAAAAGCGCGCCTGAAAGGGCCTTTGCGGTGGGCGAATGACAACTTTGGATTCTTGGCTAGCAGCCCCACCGCATGAAATCTTATCCGCGGGGTGGGTACGTTGCCCTCCCCCCTTGGAACAAGCCCCCCCTCCCATTCGCAGCAAGTGTGTCTTTCTCCCTTCCTGAGAGATGATGCGCTTGAGCAATGGGAGCCACGCGCCATCCTCGGCCAGATTGCGTGGCTCCTCTCTTGTTGAGGCGAAAGCTGCCCTTTTTGGGTGGGAGGAACCAGCAAAACCTCCCAGCTGCAAACACACACACACACACAAACACACACACACACTTGAACTCCAGATGGAGAGTGCTAATCTTTCGAGTACAACTGATGAGTTTCGAGTACAACTGATGAGTCTCGAGTACAACCGATGAGTCTCGAGTAAAAGAAAGTTCGGCTTGCCGTCACGTGATATCCCTCTAGAGACGAAACCGTTACAGGGTTCAACATGAAGCACACACAGCGGCAAAGAAGAGGGCCAAAAAGACTTTCAGAATCACTCAAAAGGTGCAGGTACACAAGGCTGATCAGGCCTTGCTTCCCACTCTCACCCACAGCTTCATTGCGTGTGGTAGGATGAGAGTGCCACACGCCCCTGCTGCGAAACCGAAAGGGTGGTGACAGGGCATTCTGTCACTCCGCACACACACGCCCCTCTACGAGGGGCGAGGTTTCTCTTTTCTCCTGCAGGAAGATCACATGCTCAAACTCAAATCACTATCGTTGACCAAAATATCCACCACGGCGAGGGGAGCGAGACACTGCCCTAAACCGCTCAGAAGACGGGAACGAAAGATCACAACGTTGAGCATTGCGAGTGTCGCCATAGAGGACTGAAGCGATCTGCGAAGCAGCCGGGCGATCACCATGAGAAAACGGAGTGGCATAGGTGAAGGTCTCCTCAACTTGAACGGCATCGGAGTTCCGACCTTGACCAAGAGTCTGATCATGTGAATAGTGAGTTGCGAAGGACTCAATCCGAGACAGAATGCGCTGGTACCCTTGGTGTTGCCAGTCACGGATGTCCCATGCCTGGACTGGCGCTTCGGGATCCGTCACCCGCTGCCATTCACGAAAAGAGTTTTCAGGTAGATCAGGTACGGCGTCACCACGG